ATTCTTATTCTAGTACTTATGAAAATTGTTAGTGATTGTTATGAAATTTGAGCATCAACTATATAGTGTATTCACTCAGACACAAGGCAAATCTCATCATTAATTAATTTTTATTTACTTGATAAGTGTACTTAATGTTTGTACATGTTTCGGGTTATTCATGCCCCTTCTCAGTCAACTAAAACACAAATACATAATGGTTACAAATTACAATATATAAATAAAAGGTTATACTGTATCAACTAAATAAATATTAATGATATTTGTCTTGTGTCCAAGTGAATACACTATATAGTTGGTGTTCAAGTTGCATAAAGATAGCAGTTGTTTTGGGGGCCCCAAATAAAATTGTCATACAGTTCATTTAAAGTAAAACCAGTATTTCCTGGATTTTTTTTAGAATGCAAGTCTATATTCTTGATTTGCTGATTAACATTTAATTCATTTGAATTATCAAAATTTAAATGTCAATTGAGATTAACAGTATTATCATCAAGTTTAGTATATGTAACAGGAAGCACTGATTCAACTTCAAAAGTTGCTTTTTTCACTAACAATTGGCTGAGTACTATTATTAGTGAGTGAAGAGATAAATTTGATCCCATTAGATTCTTCTTATGATTTTTCACTGTTTACATCATCTGTTCAATTCCATAAATTAGATAGCTTATTATCTCTCTGATTTGTTAGCTTCAGTTAACTGTTTTCTATTTGACTGCTTTGACTGTAGATGAAACAGAATTTTTGTTCACTAAATTGTTATTCAAAATACTCTAAATATATATTATTAAAATGATAAATGTTTAAATTCTGATAGGAAATCAAAATTATTTCTTCATTTCTAAGTATTTCATGAACATTTTATAAATTATTTAATATGCAAGTTTAAAGATTTCTTTTTTGCAATGAGATTGTTTTATATCTATTTATCTCTTAAATTAAGATGGACTTTGCCATTTGTTTAAAAGAAAATTTTAATTTATTAATATTAAATAGTATTACAGTATTAATTTTCTAAAGATGATGTCTTTATTGTAGAAAATAATAATGCTAGGAATATCATAGTACATAAATCAACAATTTAGGAAAATTGTTTTTTATTCCAAGAATGACATTTATTATAAACTCTGATAAATAGTAAACCAGTTTTATGATTTAATTGGAACTGGAATGTTGTCTTAAATGAAGCTGTAATTTCCAGACACTGTGTTATAAACTGAGTGTACTTCAGAATATATAGCTTGAATGATATAATACTACTTGTATACTTGAGAAACCAACAAAACAATATGGCATTTCTTACAATCATACTGAAAAATGTATAACAGTCATAAAGGCTGAAAATCTGCTGTATTCTCTCGCTGTTTGTGTATTTCTAATTATCAATGAATTGGCAATCATGTAACATGAAAATTTTCCTACTAATTAAGAATCTACACAGATTCTAATAACTTTTCATGGGCAGTTTGTGTCAGGATATTATATTCATGCTGGCTGATCTTTTATTGGCCCTCTCATAATTAACAAAACTTTAAGTGCCAATGTATTAACAGTCTGTAATATAATTAACACTGTGTGTCAATTAATATATATCAATTATAGATTTTAATGTTGTCTTCCTTCATTTTCCAAAACTGATGCTTTGGTGAGTTTAATTTAATGTTTGTTTTTCAATAACATCCTAAGATATCAAGACATGGTAATACTGTCTTTCAATGGGACAACTTTATACTGGAAACATATCATTTATGAGGAACTGTGCCGAATGTAATGCAGAAATGGGTATAACTTTTTTATTTACTGACTTAGGTCATTCAAATTGCATGTGTCAGTAGAGTAACTTCTCTATACAAAGGTGCTACTCAACGTAGTTTTCATTATAAGCAATTTATTTGTGCCATTATTGAAAACAACTCTGGAATTCTTTTTGAAAAATTCAGGTGTGCACTGTTGTACCCATTTCTTCACAGCCACTTTCACCTTATCTGTGCCATGAAATCATCACCAAAGACTGTTCTTCATTGGACCAAACAGGTGGAAGTCAGAAATTGTCAGATTTGGACTGTACAATGTATGAGGGAATGATGACCAGCCAAATTTGCCAGTTGCCAGAGTTGTATATGGTTGCATGTTGTCATAGTGAATGTGGATACTTTTTAGATTCTTGCTTGGTGTCTTCATCCACATGGTTTCACTAAGCTTCTTAAATATACAGTACTGCTCACTAGTCATGGTAGAGCCACATTCCAAAAAATCAAGGATCATCATCCCAAAAAATGCTTATCATAACTTTCTGTGCAAGGAAGAGTTACTCTACATTTGCAATTTGAATGAGCTGTATCAGTTAATAAAAAAGTTATGCACACATTTGCATTACTTTCTGTACGGATCTCATATTTTTTCCATTTTTAGTCAAGCATACTTTTTCTGTTCTGATTTGTGAATTTTCATTTGATGGACGTGTGTGTATTAATTATTTAATTATTGCATGAATATATTTTTATATATTATAAAGTTTTAGAGTAATGTTTCTAATTGTATTAGATGACATTATTGCTAGATGTGTAATTATTTGTAGTTTTGAGATATTCTGATGAAATGATAGCTATTATTAATGAGCATTTAATTATATAAGCATTCCTCATCTTAGTAAACAATATGTTGACTAACACGCCAAAATTAATTAATAAACAAAAACAAAAACACTGAGTTCGGCGTTATATGCGTTTTATTATCGCTAGTACTTTCGACGAGCTTATTGTCGTCGTCCTCAGGCGATTTAGACAAAAATTATCGAACACAAAATAGAACGCGTAATATAAATTGAAATTGTGCTAAAGCCGTTAAGAACACGTAGAAATTTAAACATAATTCGAAAGCCGAACGAGCAGATAGCTCCGTGAAGTGCGAGCTGGCGCATGCGCAGAGCTATGCTCTCGCTGCATGCATTCTAGAGACTACGAGTACTCGCTTAATCGCTTATACAACGTGACCCATACACTGGGCAGCTCAAGGGTAGGGGTGTTGCAAGTGTCCAAGGTGGTAGTGAGGAGAGATTCCCATATAAAAACAGTTTTTCGATCTTTGCAGCTCTTGAGCATAACCACTTGGGACCATAGCGGGTTGTAACCCTGCTCAAGTACCTTTTTTGCGAGCTCGGTGGTGTGTCTTCCCCTCATAACATCGTCTTGGTGCTCATCAAGGCGGCTGGAAAGCATTCTAGTGGTGGCCCCGATATATCTTGTATTTNTCGCTGCTTCTAAAAGAGGGCTTTAGCATCCAACAGGTGCTCGATATACGTGATGCCCTCACCTTCGTCACCGAGCACAATTACTTCTGTTTCAATCGAAAGATCTATTTGCAAAAACAAGGGGTCCCAATGGGTTCCCCTTTATCCGCTATCCTAGCGGAACTTGTTATGAGAGAGATAGAGCGCAGAACGTTCGATTTCCCGCTTGCCATCCATTACCCGAGACTGTATTTGCGTTATGTTGACGACATCCTCATAGCATGGGAGGACACAGAGGAGTCGTTCCTCATCTTCATGCAACAACTCGCAAGTATATATCCTTCCATCAATTTCACTTGGGAAAAAGAAAGGGATGCGGAAGTAGCGTTCTTAGACTTGCATATACGTAAATTCGCGGAAGGACTACAATTCTCGGTCTATCACAAATCTGGCATGGCCCCGCACATTATACCAGCTGAGGCCTTTCAGCCTTCTCGATACGTTAACACTGCCATTGCCTCCCTTGTCAGAAGGGCTTATTTACTGTCGTCTACGCAGGAGCTGATAAACGTCGAATTAGAGATCATCGATATGGCGGTACGCGCTGCGGGCTTTTCACGTGCAAAGTTTACGTATGTGCTCAATAAGGTAAACAAGGCACTGTTTCCATGTACTACTTTATGCAGCAAAAGAGAATCTTCAAAGGTTCAAGTAGCGTTGCCTTACTTTGGACCCATATCTTTACGTATCTGCAGAATCTTTAAGCAGCACAACCTTGTTCTACCTTTAACCCCACTTCCAAGCCTACGCAAACTTATTTGCAATGATAGAGACAAATTTTCCATTCTTGAGAAATCGGGGGTCTATGCTGTACCGTTGGAAAATCAGGCAATGGGAGTAAATACAAGATATATCGGGGCCACCACTAGAATGCTTTCCAGCCGCCTTGATGAGCACCAAGACGATGTTATGAGGGGAAGACACACCACCGAGCTCGCAAAAAAGGTACTTGAGCAGGGTTACAACCCGCTATGGTCCCAAGTGGTTATGCTCAAGAGCTGCAAAGATCGAAAAACTGTTTTTATATGGGAATCTCTCCTCACTACCACCTTGGACACTTGCAACACCCCTACCCTTGAGCTGCCCAGTGTATGGGTCACGTTGTATAAGCGATTAAGCGAGTACTCGTAGTCTCTAGAATGCATGCAGCGAGAGCATAGCTCTGCGCATGCGCCAGCTCGCACTTCACGGAGCTATCTGCTCGTTCGGCTTTCGAATTATGTTTAAATTTCTACGTGTTCTTAACGGCTTTAGCACAATTTCAATTTATATTACGCGTTCTATTTTGTGTTTGATAATTTTTGTCTAAATCGCCTGAGGACGACGACAATAAGCTCGTCGAAAATACTAGCGATAATAAAACGCATATAACGCCGAACTCAGTGTTTTTGTTTTTGTTTATTATTCCTCATCTTGATTCATAGATGTACTAAGAAATCAAATGTTTTTTATTATATTTTCTATATAATTTTTTTGATCAGAAATAAAATAAAAATGTTCCTGTTCTTGAATTTTATTCAAGAACAGGAAAACTCAAAATCCTCAAACAAGAAATTTTAAGTTTGAAACCATGCTCAATAAGCTATCAACTTTTTGATAAATGACTAAGTTTGTTTTTTAATGTAAATTTATAATTAATTTAATTATTTAAACAATACAATATAAAGTATTTATTTTTTAAAAAATACAACTATGTAACATCTTTTTGCAGATACATTCTTTCTTGAACACTGCACTGAGTCGCCACTTTGAATACCAAGCCGACGCCTTTGCCAAATCGATGAACAAAGCTGCCGATCTGAGAGGTGCACTGATAAAGTTAAACAAAGATAATCTGGGATTTCCATTAAATGATTCTTGGTATTCCACTTGGCATCACAGTCATCCCTCACTCCTAGAAAGAATTAGAGCATTGGGTAAAATCGATTAAAACGTCAACATGGACTAGATTTGAAGAAGTGGTAAGAAGCGGTTTTCTCTTCATCTAGGACCAGAAATGTTTGTGAACAATTTGAGAATAATGATTATTTAGTAATACTTTTTAAATAATGAGAAATGTTTGAATTGACATTCCATATTTTCTTAACCAATATAAAATTTTAATACACTATATTATTCAAAATTTAGTATGACATTTTCCTGTCTTTAATGATGTATAAATTAAGACAAAAACACAAAATTATTTTCTAAAAAATATTAAATTCAGAAATTAAGATTATTTGAAAAATTCTAAAAGTTTTAATAATAAATTTTGAATTTCTCTATCTAAACCCTCAAAGAATTTTGTCTATTTACCGTGAGTTAAAACATTGCCCAAAGAATGTATTCATTTGTCATCCAAAGTGCCTAAAGTTAATTGCATGTTTTAATTTATAGTAATTTAATCATTTTATCAATTTAAATCTATGTATTGTTTTATACTATTAAAACATAAGCTCAGAATAATTTGGTGTAATATTTATATTGTCCGAGTCAAATTTATATGCGACAGAATGCAAAATCCCAACTTCGGCTACTAGAAGTAGCCGAAGTTGGGATTTTGCATTTGGAAACATTTGTTCATATTTAAATTATTTTATGGTGATTGTATTTCTACTGTCGTTGTCAATTAGACTTCATCTATAACATTTGTTACTGTGCTGAACAATTGAGATGAGATAAAACTAAGTTAAAAATATAGTAGAATTCTCTTATTGTAATTACTTTGAGATTCATTACATTGGTAATAAGTGGTTAAGTAAATAAGACTACAGTTAATGGAAATTGTGGTTTTATTGACTCTGGAGATTAAAAAGACATGCGTAAAACAATGAAAAATTGTATAACTTCATCATTTATTAATTATTATTGTTATTATTATTATTATTAAGTGCTCTCTAATAGTAATTCATGCAGTATTGCTTTCTTGTCAATTTTTGCAGTACTATCTGTAAAGCAATTGAAGCTACACTTGAAGAAACAATTAGTATGCTAACATATAATGGAAGTAAGAAATGCTAGCAGTTTAAACTATTTTACTGTGAATAAATAATGATTAAGATTAGCATTTTGTTTAGGACTGTAGAATTGGAGTTAGAGTTGATATATTTTACCACCTTCCATCTCAATGTATTAAACTTAAACTAATGAATTAATTCAACTTACGACACATATATAAGTATAAAAGATAGCCCAATGATTCACCCGACAGTGACGAACCGTCTTACAACATCATTTACAGTTATTAATACATATTGATTTCTTATGAAGGAATTAAAGTTGAAGATTTAGAAATTGAGTCAAATTCACTGGTTTTGGGTATGGACTTTGCACCATAGTTTATCATTTAAGTATTAGTTAAGACTGACAATGATTACACATCTCAAATTTTATAGAACAAAAATATACTGTATTCAAAATAGTATTCACCCAAACACGATGATGATGATAACTATTACCAAAATTCTGCAATAAGCAGTTTTATATGTTTTGGGACATGCTAATTCTGATATTAAATTATTGTTAATGATGTCTGTTCAGCAGATTTTACCATATTTAAAAACTGAATCCATTATTAGTTACTTTAATACATCAACTTTTGAACAAATTTTGTAAACATTCCATTAATAGGCATATTTTTATTCTTGCATTATATCACATGTCAAGATATTCAAGCTTTACAAAAAGTCTTTCTTCTTCAAGCCCTCATAATAGTAATAATAATAATGCATTGATATTTACACATAAACTAATATATTGTTAAAGTGTTCTATTAATTTGTCATTTAATTAAATATCAATATAATGTGTCGTGATAGCCTTACAAAGTAGGATAAAAGTTTATAATAATATTTCATCTAACGTCCTATTTTCTATTCTCTTAAGGATAAAATACTGGCAGTCTAGCGGATAAACTTGCCAAATGCCAGTAGTCAGCTGCCGAACAACCGATCAACCGATCGGGTGGAGTTTTCTAGGTTTTTACTCGCCCAACACCTAAACTGGGACCGGTTTCCCACAGAAAGTCCCTCCGATAGGCGTCCTCTCCTTTCGGCAAATAGCACAAGTGTGTCGTTGCCTTATTCCGTTAATCAATCCTAACTCTATATGTAAAGAATTAAAGTAAGTAGCCAAATTTAGAGAAATGTGATTAAAGGTAGAGGCTAAGCAGAAAATTACAGTAGCACCATAAGTTTCTCCAACTGTGTTGATAAATTTATTTATTTTGGAGACAGGAGGAATGTAAATAACATGTTCTTAATGCTTTCAAACATCTACAAATTATACAAAGGAATTTGGCCATTTGGGTCAAATTTCTGGAATGAACAAGTCAAAATGTGGCAATGGAGAGAGAACATTTTTTCTATTGAATATCTCACAAATAAGACTGACACATATATATATACACACACAGTATAACTGAATGCATAGTAATGTCTGTGTATATCATAGGTTTGTTTTTTCTTTACACGCAACAGATTCTTTTATACAAATATGTATAGGTTTCAAGATTAGTTTTAAAAAGTTTGAATTAATAAATTTTGAAAAACGAATGCCCCATAAATTAATGAGTATTTTGAAATTATAATTGTAATGTCTCCGCTTCAGAATAATTTATAATTAAGGGGGGAAAAACAATTAGATCACCAAGTTAGATCATGTTTCTCTCATAAAATTAAAATTTTGTATGTATTAAATATTACAAATACATTCTTTAAGCACTTGTTTTTATTGTGTCACAATTGTTATGTATTAATAGAAACCATTGATGCGGCTCCTGTATAATACAGAATACCCTAAAACGACTAATTTAATTGCCTGAAACTATAGTCTGTTTACGGAAAGAATCGATTCCAGAGCAACCTGACGCGTGATGTCGCTTCAGTTAAACCAATGACACATTCCCTAGTGATACCAGACAATATGTGAATTTTATTTTATTTTCTTTCACAAGATGGCAGAATGACTTTTCCATTAATTGTGTTAATTTTTTATAGCATGTAACTAAAGAATCGTGCGCGTGTGGCACCATCTGTTATCGAATTTTGTTATATTTTTAATCATTATAAAATGGCAAAAAGCTTAATTTTGACGGTAGGGGCGAGTTTTATAAACGGGTATAAATGTTAATAACGAATAAGATCTTCATTAAGTCTTACCCCCTCTATCTCCCCATTGTAAAAATAATAATAAAAGCATGTTCGGATGAAATATTGAAGACAGCCTGTTAAAAAAGCTAATTTTTAATATTTTAAATTTGAAACTTTAGTGCCATCCGGCGTTATTCTATCAAGTAGTATGTTACGCATCTCTCCTAAAATGTCAACCCATTGATCTATAACTATGCAAATTACGCGTATAGAACAAAGAAAAACAACGTCACACTTTCATTAACTTACAATCTATATTATCTCGACATAGTAGTAGTTATTGTTTCCATTATCTAAGGCTTATACGCGCACATAAAACACAACATTTAAAAAAAATATATTTAAGAACAATTTATTATGCCAAAGGATATATTTACACATCACCCAACGCTTCTCATTTACGGTATCGACTCGATTTTCCATTACGTAATTGCCTAGCGTATCCCTCGAACCGTTGACATTGGGTTTGTATTGTTTCGACATTTGGCAGATTAGTCACACGTAACAAAATTTTATAATAAAATATAGATTTCGTTATAGGAACGTGTTGAAAAATTCCTTAGCAAAACGAGCATCAATCATTAAAGAATCGATTCTTACTCTTCAGAGTTTAGATTCTTTCGTCACACTTAAAACATTTGAAATTTTCACGTAAAATATAAAAGTATTGATTATATATACGCATATATAAGATAAAATATGTGATTACGAGATGATGATAAGGTAGTGACGGTCTTAAGCTTCCATATTTTGGGAAAATTGTCATTGGATAATAATAATAATAATAATGGATAGCGATAATTAAACCTGATTGGTTACCATCCAAATTTTACCATAATTATGAGTAGTACAAATTGTCACGTAATTGGATAAAGTTTTCATTTTTCCTGAGAAAGTTGCATAAAGAGCTAAAAATGATTTAGAAGGTGAAATTTTCTGGTATAAAATGGACATTTAAAGCTTGTGTTTAGTAATAAAGAATCCTGGCACGACTCAGCAAAACTTTTCCGTTCGTCTACAAACGTTTTTTTATACCAAAATGATGGACTTGCACCATTTCCCCGCCGAAACATTCATTTATTGATGGTTGCTAGCTCCGTTTTAGTGGGGCACGGAAGTTTCCTACAAAATAATAAACATTTTTCACTTCATAATGTAAATTTAATGAATCGAAAATAAAGTTTCACAAACCTAGAAATCTGTTCGGCCTCTTCTATTGTATCTGGCACCGGTTTGTTATTTGTTTCTGGTAATAGAACGACCAATGCTCCGGCTACCATAGAAATGACTCCATAGATGATTAAAGGGAGGTTCACGTAAGTTGCACGACCCTGAAATACGCTTTCTTTTACAAATGTCGAGATCCTTGCAGAGCATTAGCTAAATAAGCCAACTTACCAGATCCTTGCCAAAGGGTGCCACAATCGAGCCAACTCTGGCGAAGGTGGAACTGGAACCCACACCCACGTTTCTAACCACCGTGGGAAAGAGTTCGGCAGAGAACACATAGATTATACCAAAAGAAGCTGTTAGACAGAACTTACCTACCATGGCTAGTGTTATTTTCACCCATAGAAGATCTTTAAAACGGAAAAAATAATGTGAATGAGAGGTTCGATTACTCATAACAGTTTAAATAAAGTAATTTCTTACAATTTGGTATGGGAATTATGAGGAGGCAAGCCAAACCTCCTATAATCATGGCTGCCATTAGAGGAATCTTCCTACCGATATGCTTGATAACGATGATGGATACTACGTAAGCGGGAAATTCTACCGCTCCCGCTATAAAGAAGTTGATAAATATACTTCCACCCAATTCGCCCGTATTTAAAGATAGAGCGTAGTAAACGAATGCGTTTACACACCTGTCGAAGTGAAAGAATTAATGTAAAACACGAGAAAGTGCACCATGTAAGGAAGCGATGAGCTTACCAATTGAAGTAAATGTTCAACGTCTTCTTCCTCATGTTGGAATACTTCAGTAGATCGAGGATTGTGTAGCGTTTCACCGTGTGCATTTCTTGCTCCTGTTTGGTCATTTCAGATTTTACATGGACATGAACATTCTGTACATAATTCTATATACCTACTCACTTTCTCCGCTGCTTTGTAGAAAGTTTTGATATCCGCTCCCAGGTTGGTAGTATCTTTGCCGTTCTTGGATGCTGCCTTTTTCAAAATGGCTTCGCATTCTTCTAACCTTCCTTGCGACAGAAGCCATCGAGGCGATTCCGGCACCCACCTACAACGAGAACTTCATGAAGCATTTAATTTGCATAATGGAATCGTAGAGTTCGCTACTTACCACCAAAATGTTACGAGCAAGATGACTGGTATGCTCAAAGCCAGTTGCAAATAATGCCAATCGTTGATCAGCCAAGCCAAACAGGGCAGCAAAATATATCCGGTGGCCCAACCAAATTCGATAGCGATCCCGAAAAAGGATCTATATTCGGGCCCCACTATCTCCACCACTGGAACAGAACAGGGGTAAGGAATTCGAATGGGCATTAAGGGGGAAGAACACGGGAGTATACTCACGCACTACAAAGGCTGCCGTGAAGAGACCCGAAGCTCCCATAGCTACTAAGAATCTGCTGGCGGCATACATGACGAAATTGACAGAAAATGCACCAATTAATCCCGCTACGAAAGTGATGCCGATGCTCAACAGTATAATTGGTCTTCTGCCGAACCTAAAGGTGATTCGGTTCCATAAATATGATAAATAAACGTGTATAAATGTAAATAAGTACGGTAAATAAACACTACATAGCGTTACCTGTCGGACAGTTGACCGAAAATAAGAACGGCAAGCATGAATCCCGCCATGTAGATAGCTTGACTGAAGGATGCGTACCATTCTCTGTCGCACACCAGATCCCACTAGAAATAAAAAATACGATGATCAATTCGAAATTAAAATGTAAATAATCGAATGAATATTATTGGGACATTGCCAAAATGCCAAACTGCAATTTTTAATAATCTTTTAATTTAAAAAGACACACGATTTCCGGTCAGAACTGGAAGTTCGTATATAGTTAATCCCGGCCACCTATCTGGCCTCAATTTTCATCTATGTAACGCCGTTCTCGAGATTAACGAAGGACGAACTGATGGACGACAGTGGGAATGTATAGGTCTGCAGTCTGAAGATTGCAACCCAATACAATAAAACATGGCCCAAAACTTGTGCTGGAGTCACCAATATCAACAATTGGTTATTAGGACCATATGGTTGGTCGCGTAAAGTGCTCGAGGAATTTGAGTTCGAGTTCCACGGGCACTTTATTTTATAGGACTCTGTTACCGAAAATCTCGAGAGTGCCGATTTAGAACCCGAATTCCTTACAAAGGTAGTTGTGACATATACAAAAAAAAAAAAAAAAAAAAAAAAAATTGTAGAAGGTATTTAAACTACGAATTAAATCATTTGAAGGATGTCGATACGCATTATTAGAGTGGCATTGACACGTGCCTAGTCGAATACACCTCAATACTTGTAACAAGATTAATATTTATTACGCAAATCAAGTTGTGAAATCTTTATTTATTGATTTGATAAAGAAATATAAACAACCAGCGTGAAAGATACAAGATAATAATTTCTACTGTACTAAAGTATTGGAATTTAATGTTTCTAATGGAAGGAAACGGTGGATTTACCTGTAGAAAACACTAAATTGTATAACATTTATGGTTATGATACTGCTAAATTGCAATGTAAATCCCACACATTCTTCAGGTTCGGGATCATCGTCATTATCATCCTGAACTTGGATTGTTGTGGAAATTCATAGCCTAACAAAATTGCCGCCATAAACTTTAAATTCAGTCTTCGAAGCCGGATTAAGGCTCGTGTAAATTCGTTTGTCGACTCAAAACTCAATAAAACAATTGAATTTTCAGGAAAATAAAACCACAATATCGATGACGATTTCGTGAAAGATATCGCAACTCAATTAATCGTTGCAAACTAAGCTTATTGTAGTACCTCGATGGACCTTCGAGTGTGGGAAGAGGATTTCTGAAAAAGACACTAGGGTTGTGTTTGAATAGAGGGAGAAGGCTAAATGGAGGGGACACTCCTTTTGGATACCAAGCGACTTGCAGTTTGGAGTTCAAGTTTGCAGGGGGATTTAAGATACTAAAGAGTTTGGAGTTCCAACGGAAGTTTACAGGTTACTTATGTGACATGACAGAAGAACTTTCAAAGTAAACTTACCTGGCTAACGATGGTAGAGGTGAAAACCGAAGTGTCATACTCCCACTTTTGGCACTCCACAGTTTCATTCCTGAACTGGTTATACATTTTACACTTACTGTGTTTATAAACGCCATTAACTACTTCTTTGGGAATACTGTAATTCTTCCATTCCTCCACGGTCAGGTTGGAATTGGGGGGTCTGGCACACCAGTGGTCCATGTCGGCTGCGAAGAAACTAACACCCAAACCTTGCCACGAGCTAGGAAAGCTGCCGAAGAAGAACATAATGAAAATATCCCTCTGCCATGGTCCGTATCCACCCACCAGATCAATTAGATCCGCGGGTCTATTTTTGTTTTTCTTGTTCATTGTAGTCTACAAGGTCTTCTAGAAATAAAAAAATAAAACTGTGTTTTTAATACATCAGAAATGCCAGATGTTTATAGGAAGTGATAGCGAGACCAAAGTTCCTTAGAAAGTGATAGGATACGATTACTACGTAACTATATATTGAATGGTGACGTCGTTAAGCCGACACCTTCGTAACAAATTGCCTATTATCTTATTGTTTCTGGCCAACTCATTAAAAATAATTTCCACTCTTTGCACGTCTTTCGATCGAAGTATATCCCGAATGTCACGTGTTATATACGGCAATTACGTGATAAGATAACACGTGACTTACGGGTCATTTAAGTCAAAGATATTTTGTAGAAGGTTGCAAACGTTGCCCTGTTTACGTTTTCCCCGCTAACGAGTGCAAAATGTCACTTAAAGTTGCGTTTTGGGCAAGAATTCGTACCAAGTTCTATTCTTTCCTCGTTAAAATTTCGATCTTTTGATAGTCACTCGTTAAATGATCTTGTGTTACTTGGCTGACGTCAAATTATTTGCATAATAGGGCAAAAATAGAAACGTCTCGCTCCTCATTCATCACCCATCCCGTAACCGTAACGATTCTTCTCCAGATACCTTGGCAGGGATCCCGAAAGATGACGCGTTGCTGACCCCAGAAAGGGGGGAAGTAACGATTTCATGCCTTAATACGCTGTCATTTAGTGTTACAAGCTCGTTAGGGGTCCCAAAATTGGATTAAAACAAGCGAGTAGAGGATTAACTTACCGGAAAGTTGGTGCGCGAGCTCCCCTCTTCACACGCGAGCCGAGAAAGAACAATGAAAGTTGTATAACCGTTTAAACTGCGCATTCGTTGGATATTCCTCACTTCCGAAACTGCGAATGATCGAAAATTTTCTTCTTCCATTCATACAGCGAAAGAGGCGCGTAACAAGGTCATGTATTTTTAGAGATTGTAAATCTTAATACCTTGGCCCCAGTTACTCATCCTTCCAACGTTACCCATTTTGCAGCGATCGTCTTATGAACAGTTTAATCATTCGAATTGCCGGTAACATACGGGTCGGAACGGATTGTTTGTGCCAAAAAGTGTCTTTAAATTTGCCACCTTAACGGTAATTTTCGTGTTTTCGGGAAAAACTGGACGTTTTTATTCAAGGAAAGGAGATAATTTAACCAGAAAAAATATAAACTTTACGCAATTTCCAGGCTGTAACTCGAGTAAACAAATCGATCGTCTACAAAAATCTATCGTCACATTATCTTGTTTAGTTTGATAATTGCCCCCGAAGTCAGTTTTGTTGATGTCGATGCTTAATTAGTGACGCGTTTTTTCCTAAAGTTACGCGCTTAACACGAAGAAATTCGGTGAAATTTTCCAATTTTATTCACGTGCAACGTTTAGACTTTTCGGAAATAAATTCTACAAACGTCACTTAAATTGTATTTTCTCAAATTATGAAATTCCCAACGTCACGAAAGACAATCATTTCCGTCTGAATGAATCGAAAATTTGGAATTTTTCCAAAAAATAATCGAACTTTGTGACGGATGTAATTATTTCCATCGAAATTTAAGCATTTTCCAACTTTAAAATCATTAAAATAGGCTTTGTAAAATGTGTATTACTAGGCGAAAACGGATTTGGTGAGACGTGACGAAGTTCAAATGGGGTCACTGTCAGGTTAAGGTGAAAAAAATATCACTTAGAAAGTCAAAAATAGTTGGCAGCGGGGTCGTTTATCTCTTTTTTTTTTATTTTTGTGAAGTAAAATTGCTGTATTTACTTAAAATTTCGATGATTTCGAGACCTAAATCCTGTTTGCAACAGGTCAGGGCATTCGTCTGATATCGGCATTTATCAACTTTCTTGCTTATAATTCTCGTATTTTGTTCATTTTCAAGCATAATTTATGCTTTGAAAATAATTTCACGCGATTAAAAGTTTGCAAAATTCAAAAATGTCAAGCTTTTAATTGCAATTAACACCTAAAATACTGCCTTTCGCACGCTCCGCGCGCGTTAATTTTCCGCATTTCCGAACGTATTTGACACGCATTAAATTATTACATAATTAGACATCTTTGTTATTTATTTTTAGCTAATAAATTAATTAAAAATTACTCGACAGGATATTTTTTAAATGAAATTATTTAATTATGTTGTTGCTATCGAGTTCGAATTCTATTTTAGACAGCCAGTGAGCGCGCAGTATAAAGGTTTGTACAACACCTGTGCAATACCTGAGTATACGCGAGTACACGGGCCTAGTAGCTGCTACCGTGCTGTAAATAACCACAAAATATGATCGTACAGGTGTTTAATTAATAAACGAGTAGCCGAAGTAGTTGTAATATTGTAATACACAAGAACACGTTCACCCCGTGAAAAGATCAACATCCAATGAGAAATCTGGGTCTTAGTTTCTCGTTCTTAATGTGATTCTTGCTGTAATTCTAATTTTATCCACCTGCGGTTCCTATAGTTTTAATACTATTCACCTAGTTCTAACTTTGTGATGCCTATGGCTCCAATATAACAGAAATTGTAGAAATACAGTTTCTGTTGACAAAGCTGTAATTATACAGCTTACATTACATTTAACTTCCGCGCGTGCAATTATTATAATGTACGAGACACTTCAAATTTTTTTAAAAAAAGTAATAGAAAGTTATTAATTTACACGATTACAGTACAATAAAAATTCGAGTGTATTTTGCTTATGAATACAGGAAGAATTTACTAAAGAATAAAGAGGGAAAAAGTGGAGCGTGTAACTTACTTGCACGTTCTTTAGTACGAGACTGCGAACAGAAAAACACGAGGGTGGATATCTGCAGCGACAGTTCTTCGAGTCACGTGACTTAGACGGTTTGTCGACGATTAGATAAATTCCCGAGAAGCGAAGTTTAGTAAGATCGAACTAACCCCCCCATAATGGGCGAGAGTTTGATCTTTACAATGCGCTAACACAAAATCCTTTTTGTTTCTAACCCATTTCCCCATTTAGTCGATTGTTTATGTTTTCTTTCGGAGTGTAGGCTCGTGTCCTATTGAACTCTTTCGGGTTAACGCGGTGGAGAAAAGAAGCGCGTGGCATGTGCGAAAATAATAACATAGACTCCCGCGTGATGTAAGGAGATTCGAATTCTCGAAGGAAAAGGTAGTGTTATGTCACCGGATATATATTTAATTTTTTCACTTGTTTTTCTTGGAAATACAAGGATAAACTAATTATTGATTGTTCGAGTCGAGTGATAATCGATATTTTGTTGTTTATAATGTTTTTTTTTTTCAGTTTTAAGAATTAGCCTAAACGAGATTTGGATCTAGCGAAGTATGCGTGTATATTTTGTTGTGTTGCTTAACTGTCTTTTTGTGTTAGGAAATTCTGTTTTGTTCTAACGAATCACCCCTCGCCATATGTCTATGGTATTAACAAATACAAATTCGATTATGTAATACCGATAAATTCCAGAGGAATGTAATTATCTGAGATCTCGAGCATGAGACTTTTCGAGACACTTAAAAAAATTTTTAAATAATAAAATTTAAAAAAATAGTGTTTTTACCCTTGGTTGTCTGTGCAGTTTATCTAGAGTAGTTCATACTGGCTGATCTTTCTCTTTCCTCGTTTAAAAAATTCTTCTCTGAGTCCATCGTAAAGTTGATTTTATTTCACGAAATCTTACACCTTTCTGGTATTGTTTTACACTTCTTTGCCTTATGTCTTGGATTTCCTAAATTAGAATGACCAGATTTATTTAGGCAAATCCGGGGACACATGTCAATCGTCACTTTTTAGGGTACAATGTAGAAGCTCACGTATATAAGTATTGTCAAATGGGTACAGTACGTACGCATGACCGAGATATTTTAATTTTGATTGAGCTGGTTGGCTACAATCAAATCGCTCTCCTCCAATAAGGTTTATATCTATTTACTTTTGGCGCTTTTTAGCTATATTTTTTTGGTCCACGTTTTGAAATTTCGCTCCATTTCGACATTTCCCGAAAAAATTGCTTATTTCATAAAAAATTACCTGGCAACATCAAAGACAGTGGACACGTCCTCTGGCGGAAAAAGTTTCGAGCGTTCAATTCACTTCAAAGATGGCGGCCCGGTTCGGGTTCTAGTAGTTATGTCGTTGGCGTCTCCGGAAAAGTTGGACCGCTCAAAACAGTTTTTATACTGTTTTGTTTAAATTTTCCGTAATTAACGCTATAATAATTAAAAATTATTCGAAATATCAATTTAAAAATATCGCGTTTTTCCATAACGACTAGAAAACGCCGCCATGTTGGATTTTATATAAGCTAATTCTTTTTAATTCGAAGTTGTTAAATACGAATTACTGTTTGGGAAAATAATCTTCGCTACGAAGAACGATTTCAATGGTAAGTACTTTATAAAGAAATTTTTTTCAATGAAAGTTTATATTTCGTATTTGAATAATACAGTACTTCAAATATGAAGTATACACTTGAAGACATTTCTGTTCCTTGAAAATCAATTTACACCGAAATTATGTAACATAAACACATTTTACACTCATTTATCTGTGGTAGTAGCCTCTATTTATTACAATTTCATTTAATTAAGTTTATTCCCTGTTATGAAACAGCACTTTATTATTTCATTTTACCACTTTTAAACACTCCCCTCTACTTGTTTTATTCACAGAATTTATATAAAGCTTCATATAATAACATTTAGGCCTATATACTATATTTTTTATGATTTCATTATATATAAACATCATTTACACATAAATGATAAATGTTTATATATAATGGAATTATGATAGTGATGTAATGACAATGATTTATTCACTTCAAATATTGCGTAATGATCTTGATATTACAAATATTTAAAATAATATTTTGTAATACAGCATAAATGTCTTGATAATTTATTAAAATATTGACGAATACTGTATATTTAAATATTTTAATACTTTATACATTGTATGTGGGATAATCATAGATAGTTATTTTACAAAGCTAATAAAACAGACAAATACTTTTCTTGAGGAAATGAATACAAAGAGTTTATCTGTCGGAACTGTTGATCAAACGTAAAAACACAATAAGTGGCGCATTATCCTGTGGGCAAATGGGAAATTGCCTGCAGTCCCACGAACAGGGTCCCACAAATTAATCCTTATTAAGAAAATATATCCCTCAAAAAATACCCTCTAAGAAAATGCCTATAGTCAACATTGTACAGTACATGTGATCCCCTAATTCAAATTTGCCTGGACCCTATGAAACTATAATACTCCGCTGATATCAGTCGTACATAGCTTACTCCATCACAGAAATTTTAATGTAAACGCAAACGTTTTCGGCCATATGGGCCGTTTTATAAATCGAATAAGTTACAAAACTTTCAAATACCGAACACCATTTTTAAATTTTAAAGTATTCTATACCTAACCAAAGGCGGTTTTTAAACTATAAATTATAAATGATTAAAATACGAAGATACATATATAGGTCCAAATATTACAAGTTAAGCATGAATAAAACTAGATGGGAACTGAGCAAACACGGATTGAGTGTCATAGTTCACAAGATATTATAAACTGAACATAAACATGAAAGAAGATACACCTCGAACAAAACTGGATTAAGTGTTAAAGACTCGAGAGTGATAGGAATATAACACCACAGCCAACTACAACAACAGGCCTAATCGTTAACGCCGCCATTTTGCAATATGGCCGACATTGGTGACCTATTATGATTACTACAAATCGTTCGAGACTGCATACTATAATATCAAAAAACTTAATAATACACCAAGATAAGGTGTATTAGTAAGTTTTTTGATACTATGATTCCTAATTAAGTAAACAGTATTTACAATTATCGTTAAACTTTCCAGCTATTTTTTTACACATAATTTAGTTTATTTCAATTAATTTTAACAAAAATATAATTAAAATGAACTGATTCTTTATCATTAATTATTCCTGTTATCCGTAATAAGCCGTAAATAAATAACTTCATTGGAATTCAGACATTCACTAATTTCTTTTACAAAAAGCAATGATTTGTAATATTAATAGTATAATACGTTAAGAGCTAAAACAAAAAATATTTAGTATTATTATTTTATTATTCTAAATATTTATTTCTACTTAGATCACTAGGCCCAAAACAGGGGATTAGTTACACCATAAATTTTAATTATTACAATTAAACATATATATAACTTACATACACATAAAATAAAATATGGGAAAAATTTCTCATCGTAACTTACTTCACAAAATATAAATTCTCAACATAAAATCGAAATGACTTATTTTAATGCAGTTTATCCAATTTCCGCTTATTGAAACTCTTGGTTATCATAGTCTTATTGCAAATTTTCACATACAGGGTGTCCCAAAAGTTTCCATACCTACAAAGGTGAAATGTAACTTTATTCACAAAACATTAAAATTATAGCATTAAGATTTGCGTCAGTGGATTGACGGAGTAAGGCAACGGAACACGTGGTTGATCTGCCAATGGGGTAACTTCTAGCAGGACTTTTTATCTGGAAACTGGATTCTGTTCAGGTGTTAGACGCATGAAGAAAACCTAGAACACTGCATGGTGGCCAGCCCGTTGGTCAGGCACGAACCAATGACCAACTACCAGTATTCGATGGTTTTATTGGTCGGCTTGATTTGTGTCACCATGGAGACTTTTGAGAAACCCTGTAGTTATCAATGAAAATATTGCATAGAATAGGAATAGCCTTACAAAATATATCAACATTCCTTACACCACTCGGATACACAGCATTATTTCCAACAAATTTTTGTAGTATTATATTTAATAATGACTTCTGGTTGCTATTTTTTAAAAATATTTCCTCACATTTAAAAGATTAGCTGGACCATTAAGATTTAGCTGTTTGATGATGAACTTCATAATTCCCAAATATACTGTACGTCATCAAACTGAAATGTCATCTTGCCGAGCATCTGAGCGTGATACAAGGTCGCATTCTTTGCAAGCGCGTTTAATTAAGTAAAACTGGAAAGGGTTCCCTTGAACCTGGAAAATTAGGGATTTTCATTAGCGTTCAGAAAAAGTCATGGAATGTCAGAGAATTTGTTAAAAATTGTCAAAAAGTCAAGGAATTTGTTTCCTTGGCTGCCTTATTAATTTTTGCTGACAATATGCTTGACTAAGTGTAGCCGTCTGCAGGCAGCAAGAAGTAATGTGGTGCAATATAACTTATGGAAAGGGGTGCAGAATATTTTCAGGATCCAAAATATCTCTCGAGCTTACACAAAATTTTTCCAAAAATGTACAAAGTGCACAAAATGGTAAATAATTTAAATGATATTATTTATCATTTTTTTGTTCATCATTTTGTGTACTTTAAATTTCTGGGAAAATTTTGTTTATGCTTGGAAAGAGAAATTTTGGGGTCCTGAAAATATTCTGCACCGCTTTTCATAAGTTTCATTGCACAACATTATTTCTTGCTGCCTGCAGACGGCTACATTTAGTCAAGCATATTATTGTCAGCAAAAAATCAACAAGACAGCCAAGGAAGCAAATTCTCTGACATTCCATGATTTTTTCTGAACACCAATGAAAATCCCTGACTTTCCAAGGTGTGTATATAATTTGTTCGTATGATTCATATCTACATAAAAAAGTTATTAATGAGTTTTCTTTCAGATTGTATGTANTTAGTCTAGAATCGATTAATTTTATGGAAGAAAACCTTTCAAACAGCCGTAGTCCGTAAGCTTCACACGTGTCAGGCTGTTATTGGCTGATTCCTACAGAATTGATTCATAAAGAACGGAGCGTATCTACCGTCTTATAGGGGGATCGACTGTATTATTGAAAATGATTTTTACCCCAAAGGAATCCTTCCTCGTTGTACGACGAGTCATCGCCGGACTAGGTACCAACATTATACTTAGGGTACGAGTGAGAGTGGCCGCAACCCATCGCGTATAAAGCCCTGGTCACACTATGCGATTTTTAGCCGCGCAGGCGACTGCAACTGCAACAAGCGCGAGTCGCGCGCGTCTTCTCGTGGTCACACATTGTTCGTTGACGTTGCAACTCGGAAACACGTGGCCCTATAATAAACCAATAAAATTACAGTAGCTTGTTTTTGACTACTTTCGTGAGTTTGCCGATATTTTACGTTCTACTTCAGAGTATTTACGGAATTTTAGCCACTTTTATTATTAAAATAGCAAGCAGTTTCTTTTCTGGAATGAATAAAAGAAAAAAGGCGATTATTTTAATAGAGCTGGCGAAAATACATGAAAAGATAAAATCTTCGATAAAAAGAAGAATTAAAATCCCACAGGTATTCGTGAGCCTGAATAAGCTCGATCAATCTCGATTCTGTAAAAGTATTAATCCTCTGACTATCCGCCATGATGATTTCAATGTTGTCACTGTATGACGTGGCATAAAGGCGTTTGTTGATTGGATGCGCGTTTGCAATCGTCGCGAGTAGAACAAACTTTTTATTTCTAGTTGCGATTGCAGTCGCGCCGGTTTTCGAGGGGGGATTACTAGTTAACGGGAACAGCCGTCGCGGTTGCAGTCGCCTGCGCGGCTAGAAATCGCATAGTGTGACCAGGGCTTAACGGGAACAGCCGTCGCGGTTGCAGTCGCCTGCGCGGCTGGAAATCGCATAGTGTGACCAGGGCTTAACGGTTAAATAAGTTCTCACGTTGCGACCATCTAACCATATTTTCACAGATTTATCCAAAATCCATGTTAATTCTTTTCTTTTTACACATTGTTCAGCAGCAAATATAGTTACATGAAGATCAATATTAATGGATATAGTTACAGAAATGGGTGGTCTCTCTTCTATTAATCTAATTTGGTAGAAAATGAGCATTTGATTCTCTTCTGTAACATGCCAGTTACAAATCACATTCATTAGCCGCTCATTCATCTTTGAATAAAGCTCAAAGAAACTGTGGATAATGTATTTGTTATCCACGAAATCAGCATACTGCTGCTCAAGTTTCAATCGCTGCTCGTCTCTGCTCTGACCTGCAGATTTTCTCTGTTTTGTCGAAATTTTGTTAAAATAAATAATTCTGGCAGTTTGGGAAATACGGTTGTCCTCTTAATTTTGGAATCTTCCTTTAAAATTTCACTATATTTCCCACAGTTCTTACACGCATCATTCCTCACGATATCAGATAAAAATTGCCGTTCACAAACCATTCTATGATCAGTTGGAGTCCATTTATCTCTTAGAATATTTCGTACTCAACGCTGATGTAATGTGAGATCTTTAGGAAATTAAAAAACCCTTAACCTGTTGATGTAAATTCATAATTTATTTTGCATTTAGACACCCAATGCTTTCTTCTTATTTTAAATTAAACGAAACGACGTTAGACCTAAATCCACGTGGTTAGGCTTTCGCGTATAAATTCAAAACATATTAAGTTTAAGAAATAAAATCAATATATATATATATATTTTTAAGTGAAGCTTGAAATAATAACAACGATCAAAAAACAGATAAACTTACATTTACATTAAATACCGATAAAATAACCGTTAAATTAACTATGTGATCTAAAATGAAGGCACAGGCGGCCCTGAGCGCTTCCATTAAAATTCCGTTGGTGGGTCTGTTGTAGTTGGCTGTGATAATATAAATATAAATTGTCACGATTGTGGTAGAGAAATGCTTACTTTATTAGGCAATGTCCTTTGAGAGTGGACTTGTAAGTTTCCGTAACTTCGACGTTCTTAGCTTATTTCCAGCAAAAATATTATGAATTAGTCTAGCTTCTTCCAACGACGGGGGCTCAGAGTCTAATTTGGCCAGAACAATAACGTAATTTCCTTCGGAGACGTCGTGTTTATAGTCTTTTACCCTAGTCTCCAGGGATCTATAAGAGGAGACAGTGTAGACAAGGTGTCTCTCGAATTTCGAATCGTACAAAGAGTTTCCAATATACCCCTGGAACAAAGAATTAAACTATACTGTTTTAAAGTACATTAAACATTTCTGTGTTTTAAACAATGATAATAATACAATTAGTTTTCTTTTTCAGTTACAATACATACACACAAACACTTGTGTATATTTGAATGGATTCAAGTAAAAACAATGTAAATAGCATTCAAGCCACTTTGAAGTTTTTCATATTTTTATGGATGGCAAATCTGCGTGTAAATCTTGTATGGTTTTGCACGATTATACGCATTTTGTTAAAGTTTTCCACCACATAAATGCTTGTGTTTTTTTTATTACTTCATTGCTACTCATTTCTGATCTAACTTGCTTTCTCCAACGATTGAGAGTTGAGAAATTATTATACATGCACTCTTATACAATTTTACATTAGTTAATAAAGGTAACGAATAACATGCGTAGAAGTCGAACAGACGTCTCCATCGTTTTCACTTTTACACGTGTTCCTCGTTACTTAACTACGTGTGGTAACAAATTTCAAATTTAAATTAGAGGTTCTTAAGACAGATAATTAAAAATAAATAGTATTACAACAGCAATAATAATGTGTAGAAGTAATGAATGCGACGAACTTTTAAAAAATACTTCACTCCTTGATATTCGCTTCGTTGCCACTAACTTACGCTTTACGGAAAGTTTTGTGAATTTTCTAATTATATTTGAACTCGGAATTTAATTTTTAAAACTCTGTTAATATTTAAAGCTGTTTATATATATATAGTTATTTATTTATTAGGGATGTGCTAATACTTCTACGAACGATAAACAACAGCTTACTCAACGAACGATTTACGCGATTAGATAAGTTGAAAAATTCGAAAATGCAGTATAGCGTATTCAGTTTTTTCTTACACGAGTTTTGATTGGCTTTTTTAATAAAAATTGCATAATTTAATAATATCCGAATTAAATTCTATAAGCGTAAGAACCAAAATGCAGTACTGACCATAACGTTATAATAATTCTAGAGTTTGGAATAAGGAATTTTCTTTCCTAAAATCTAATAAAAACTAGGAAATATTTTATCAAAAGTTGTAATAACTGTCTGTGAATTTCTTTGAAGATACGATACTAATTAACGAAATATTTAAAATTTTTATTGAAGTAACATTTAAATTTTATTATATATAAATTCAGATTCGATTCTAATGATATAAATAAGTGAGAAAGTTATTACTTATAATAAATAGAAATAAATATCCTATTCTCCTACGGATTTTCGCAATCCTATCCTTTCCTTTCAGGTAAACCTGCCATTTATACCAGCTTTTACTGTTCCATCATCATGAGTCGAAGAATAAAACTTCTGTTTTTAATTTTTCTCATTCTGATTTTCATTAATCCTTCCTTTACTTTTTTATTAGTTGAACACCGGTATCCGACACGCGGTATTTTATCTGTTAATTGTAATTTATATATTTTCTTCCATGTTCAAATCATAATTAATGTCTTATCTGTAAACATTTTAAACTTAGATACAAAATAACTTGAATTTTAAAATTATTGATGAATTAGCAGTGTTTAATAGATGCGTCAGCATTTTTACGAAACTTTCACTTATTTTATTAATTACTAACAGATGAGCCCGGCGTTAGCGGAAAAAAGATAACAACGGCAAAGATTAAGATTATTAGATTATAAGTTAGAAGTATGTAAACGTATCTGCCGAGTTTTGTAACAATTGGTCGAACGGCCTAGGTTTATAGCGAATATATAGATATAGGCCTACATGTAAAATTTTCTATAACAACTTCCCCCTCCAACAATGGAAATTACTACTTTTCAATAATTCAAAAACAAACCTTTATATAAAGTAGAAAATACAATACAGGTTATCCGACACTAATCCGGCATCATCGGGACCCAACGGGGTGCCGGATAAGTGATTTTTGGTGATATTTTTTTATTAACTCCTTAAGCCTTGTCAATACTAAGAGGACCTTTTTAGAAAACCTTTTATTAACATTGGATCAAGATATATTAACCACAGACGAGAAGCAAAAATATTTAGAAAGAACTGCAATTATTGTCACAGCTAACGTTAATGACTGTGTTTGTAATAAGTTGTTACGATATATTAATATTTATTATATAAAACTGTATAAAATATTTTTTATTTCACAATTACTGCATTGTATGTAACTGCTTCTTATCTATTTGTAATGTGTGTCTCGGATATTTCACAATAGTTATAAAGAATAAGAATTTCATTTATTTTATTATGAAATTATTATTATTATTAGTATTTTTTTTGCAAATTCTTGTTATATGATATAAAATAAAACGTGTGTCATAGATGCAGTTACGTATATTAAAGAATTCATATTCTGGAATACGACAGTATCTATTTGAAAATAAATTAATAACAACAACACTTTAAACGTAAAAGAGCATCGTCTATCCAAGTAAAGCATACCAGACGACGACACTAGAGAAACTTCAAAACGTCTTAACCTTTCTTTTGAGGTTTCGTAAGTCACCCGCAAAGCATTCAAATTGTCCTTTGTGAGTGAAATTTTTTCAAAGGAGCCTTCACGAAGTATAATTTTAGATCTCTTTTGCTAAATTCGATCTATGAGAAGAGTGTGAACTAAGTGACTTTGTTTGCTTTTCAATATACAGTAGTTTATATCAGTGGTTCTCAAAATATTTTTGTTTGGTGGCACACTGAAATCATTAAACAAAATTTCTGACATTCCTATTATTATTTGCTTTTAACAGTTAGTTAAGATATGAAGGATAAGACGCATTTGAAAAAAATAAAAGTTATTTAGTTTATTTTCAAACAACACGAAAACATACAAAACAAAAGTTATTATAAAGGTGTCTGGTGATAAAATGTGAACTTAATGTAAAATATGCGCCTGATGATTTTTGCATATTTCTTTGATATTAGGTCGTGTTTTTGAGAGACATATTTTAATCTCATTTTCGAGGGCCTTTAGTCTTTCTGTCTTCTTTGTTTTAATATTTACAAATTCAAAAAATCCCAGTTCGCACAAATACGATGTGGAAAACTTCAATAAAGTATTAAGTGCTTTGAACCCTATATTGGGGTATTCCTTCGTAATCGTTATCCAAAATGAATTCACACACATTTCTGAATGCTTCGGGTATTTACCAGTGGCCAAGTGGTCTTCGTACCCTGAACACTGAGAGTTTTCCGGGTTTTCTCCACGTCTGTAACGCCTGTAGAGGCCAGTTTTCCTTAAAAAGACCTCCCGGAAGGCATCCCCTAGGCAGAGCGCCTAAGTGTTGCGTTGCCATAACTTGACAAACAAACAAACTGAATGCTTCGATCTGAACGTGCGATCGTTGCGTATATCAATGAATTCTTTGGCTTCTGTAAGATTTAACTCGCTTATTTCTGACGTTGACTCTACAAACGGATTTCGAATTTAGTCGTACAAATTAACGATATGTCAGGGAAATAATGGTTAATTTTTTTCTTCTAACGATGTTTAACGATGTTAAATAACTGTAAATAAGCCTTTGCAAATCTTTATTATTACATTTTCCTTCGGCAACATTAAGAAATATTTTTACATTATATGTGTTTATTTTTATCGTCTACATTTTTATTTTATCTTTAAAAGCTTTAATTTTATATGCAATGTCAAAATATTTTCATTTCTTCCTTGCATGTTGGAGTTCAACTTGTTCGGATGATCAAATATGTCTGTTAAATAAGCTAATTTGGAATACCAAAAATCATTTTGTGATCATTCACAAAATTCTGGTATGTCTTAATTTTGAAAAAAAATTAATATTTCTTCCTTTAAGTTCAAAAACACGATTTAATACTCGACTTTTTGAAAGCAAACTCACTTCGGTATGAAGAAGAAGGTTAATGTAGTAAGATTGCATTTCTTCACATAGTTTTGCAAATATTCGCGATTTTAATGGTCTAGCTTTGATGTACTTGACCATTTTAATGATTTCTTCTAATACATTTTTAGTTCCAGGCCTATTGTCTTTACTACCAATGATTCACAATGAATGAAGCAGTGAGTTGTTGCAATGTTTTCATTTTCTTTTTTAGCGTATGAAACAAACTCTGTTATAGTTCCAACCGTAGAAGAGGCACCATCTGTACATATACTCACGCAAGATTTCCAAGATAGACCATTTATATTAAATATGTGTTCAGCGTATCAAAAACATTTTTCTTGTCCCGTCTTAGTTTTTTCGAATTCCTTGCGGCATAAAAATTCTTTCACAATTTTATCTTCAATAAATCTAGTGAAAACAAGTAATTGTGCTTTACCACCGATATCAGTTTACTCATCCAACTGCAAACTAAATAATTTCGATTAGATTGTTTTATTTATAACTGATGTTTCAATATCAACTGATGGATCACTAATAATATTCATAGTGTCGTTTGACAAAGGAATAGTCTTTATTTCTTCTGCTTCGGCACCAAAAATTGTTCTCACAATTGCTATACAGGCCGGGCGAATCAAAGTTTCGCCGATTGTATGAGGCTTCATTTCTTTCGCGACTGTTTCGGCGAATAAATAACTGGCCTCTTGAACACGATCGGCAATTGTATACTTTTTTTTTTTTTTTTACAAAACTTTTACTTTGTTTTTCTTGTAATCTTATCAAATCTCTGAAATATTCAGGAGTTTTTTTAGAGAAGTGATCATGTTTTGTGGAGAAATGTCGCAATACAGTAGTTTACTGGAAACCATAGCTTCGTTTGATAAAACCAAATACATTTAGGTCTGGGAATTAATTTATCATCATACCACGTGAATTCCATTTTTAGGTCACTCGCTTGACATAAACGAGTTTTTACATTCTTTAATGCGACATTTTTACGAGAACTTATTGTTTCTGTTTCTGGTGTTTCGATAGTGCTTGTTTGTTGCTTAACATTAAAAGTAGTCAAATCTTCATTAATAGAGCCCTCAGTTTCTGATGATTTACTAGTGCTAATTGGTTCGTTAGTTTGCTACATGTAGTCACTTCTCGATCATTGGAATCTCCACTTTTTCTGTTTTAATGAAAAAATTATTAATGCTATCGAACGGCATAATTAACTTTAATATTTTATTATAAGATTTAAGTTTAAGTTGATAATTTTTTCCCCTGCTGTAAAGAAGAAAAATATTTGTACATGATGCTTTTTCGTTATTGTCGGAATATACAGTATAACCATAATAAAAACAACTACTCACTGCATTCAATGCCTTTAGTATTACACTACCATGATTATCCCACATACAATGTATAAAGTACTAAAATATTCAAATATATTCGTCAATATTTTAATAAATTATCAAGATATTTATGCTGTATTACATAATATTATTTTAACATAATACAAAGTTTTATTTTCAAGGAACTAAATTCAAATAGAGGGGTAGGTCTCGAGGTTTACGATAGCCTATATTTTCCGCGTAGTTCTAGAGCAGCGATTCCATTAAATTGCAGGACCGAATCTTATCGCTTACCATTTTAATTTGAATTTCGACTGAAGAGTTTTCGAAATGTAGAAATGTTGCTCCGAAATATTGTAGAGCAATTATTATTAGCAACTTGTTATTATATTAAAATATTAATACATAATTCGAATACTTAAAATTGAGACTGAAAATCTGAATATTTTTTGTCTTCACATTTCGAATATCATTAATACGCTCTTCCTTTTCCTCGGTATAACGTAATTCACGAGTTTAAAGGATATTTTTCCGGATGAGAGATTCGCTTTTGCTAAGTGTTACATTTCTAGTCACTGGATACTTTTCTTGATATCTTGTCTTCCTACGTGGGTATCGAACGCCGTTTATGATTTACCGTGTTTCCCCGAAAATAAGACAGTGTCTTATATTAATTTTTGCTCTAAAAATGCACTAGGTCTTATTTTCAGGGGATGTCTTATATTTCCATAAAGACGAATTCACATTTATTGTTGAACAATACGCTAAACAGGTTCGAGAGAACACCTTGCGACACATTCAACTTAACCTTTTTATAGTGTCCATATCGAGCCAATTAGTGCTTACTGAACCGTAGCACTATGCAAATGTGATGTGGCGTGATTCCCAGCCGACCAATTAGCGATCACCAGCGATAACATTATGCAAATCTGTGATTCCCAAGCCATAGTCTTATGCAAATCATGCCGTGTGGCGTAATTGTCTGCTGACCAATCAGTGGCTGTACTTTCAACCATCTGTCGATGACCGTTACGACTAAAAAAAAACTTCGCTAGGTCTTACTTTCAGGGGGAGGTCTTATATTTCGCAATTCAGCAAAATCTGTGCTAGGTCTTATTTTCTGCGGATGTCTTATTTTCGGGGAAACACGGTAGGACTGAAGCTTTAATAATAACGAGTATCGATGGGTTAATATCTCCCGAACCAATGGTTCGATTTTCCCGAAAATTTCTAGACAAGCTTGTCCCTAATACACAAACTTCTCCGCAAAATTTCAGAATTTTTTTATTACAGACAAAGAAGTTATTAAGCTTAAAATTAGGTGAAAAAATCGTGCTACACCGACTCTTCCCATAATTAAAGGCGTTTGCACTACGTAGTGAAAGTTGCACGACGCCGTCAAAAGTTGGCCAAGTAGTCGCCATTTCGTCGCTGACGTTCCAGGGGTTTTTCTTATATTTAGTACTGTTTATTGTATTTTTTTAATGTTTGAGAAGATGGTGTTTAAATGTGGTGAGGTGCCGAGGAAATTATAAAAATGACACGTGAGATATTTCGATTGATCTTACTTGTTAAACCGAATTTATATCTGTAGAAAATTTTAAATGTCGATTCTGCAAAAATAAAAGCGAAGAATTGTTTCGGTTTGTACGATTTTTTAAAGTTATTTTTACAAGTAGAATGCATATCATTGGTGAGATGGCGGATTCATCTTAGAAGGAGCCCCAAGAAGTTTAAATTTTTATGGCCCTCGCAACTAAAAGGAAGTGGAAGAAAGGCAGAAATTGAAAAAGGAAAGGAGGAACGAAACTCGTTTATCATCAATATACAGTTTATTACTTAGTTTATCGTGTAAATTACAACTTCTTCTCGGCCGCAAACTCCTCAAGCACATTATCAAAAGACAATTTCTGCAGTTTACCATTCTGAATGAACATAAGGCTTACGTCTGAGAGTTTCTTTTGCTAATAATTGTTGAAGTGAAAGGTCTTCGGGCACCTTTCACTTCAACAATTTGTTATTGGTAAGGTTAAAAATAGTCACACGATGCTTTCCAAAAAAATTTGGTCTACGTTGTCTTCATAACTCAGCGAGAAAAGTTGATGTGGCATGCATTAATGTGCACCTTTCGGTTTTTCCGAATAATCGGGAATAAATTCGTAAGAAATTCTCGTGAAAAAATAGGAAAAATATTTTCCGTTTAATTATTATTGCATATACAGAAATGAAATTCTTCCTTTTCTCTTGTAGAAAGAAGTAAATCCCCGCGTTTTCCAACCAAGAAGTTATTTACATACTGTACTTATTTCGATTGGAGTGTGCGAAGACATTTTTCTAAAAGAAAGAGAGAAATTAAACGCATTTTCACTGGAAATTTACGACTTTAACAAATTAACAACAGGAAAATACGAACCTGGAAGTTAATTCGGCTTCTTCTAAAGTATCCGGCACCGGTTTATTATTTGTTTCTGGCAAAAGGGCGACCAACGCTCCCGCAATTATAGAAATGATCCCGTAGATAATTAATGGAAGATTGGTGTAAGTTGCTCGACCCTGGAATATTTTGCCTTGTTTTAATTAATTATTGTAAAGAAAGATTTACATTTTCTACTGATAAAAATGTGAAATTTTACCAGTTCCTTGCCGTAAGGTGCCACAATCGAACCAATTCTGGCGAAGGTGGAGCTGGAACCCACGCCCACGTTTCTAACTACCGTGGGAAAGAGTTCGGCTGAGAACACGTAGATTATACCAAAAGATGCCGTTATACAAAACTTTCCCACCATGGCTAGTGTTATTTTCACCCATAGAAGGTCTTTAAAATGGAAAAATAGATTTAATTTATGCATATTTTAAGAAATAAAACAAATTTTAGTGATTCCAACACTCACGTTCTGGTATGGGTATGGTTAGAATGCAAGCTAAACCTCCAATTATCATAGTACCCATTAGAGGAATCTTCCTACCGATATGCTTAATAACGAAGATAGATACGGCGTAAGCGGGATATTCTACCGCCCCCGCTATAAAGAAGTTAATAAATATATTTCCTCCCAACTCGCTGGTATTCAGAGACAGAGCGTAATAAACGAATGCGTTTACACACCTGTCAAAGTGAAAGAATTTATGTAAAATATGAGAATGGGCACCACGTAAGAAAGCGATGAGCTTACCAATTGAAGTAAACGTTCAACGTCTTCTTTCTCATGTTGGGGTACTTCAGTAAGTCTAGTATCGTGTAATGCCTCACTGTGTTTATTTCTTGCTCCTATTTAGTCATTAACATCATGAACGTGTCAAATATTCTGTAAATAATTTAATATACTTACCTTTTCTGCCACTTTGTAGAAGGTTTTGATATCCGCTCCCAGGTTAGAAGCATCTTTTCCGTTCTTGGATGCTGCCTTTTTCAAGACGGCTTCGCATTCTTCTAACCTTCCTTGAGACAGAAGCCAACGAGGCGATTCCGGTACCCACCTGTATTTAAAATTAAAAACACAATGAAATATTTCCATTTTAACAGTGAAATCGGAGAATTTCGACTTGTATTACCAAAACGCTGCGAGAAAAACAACGGGAATGCTGACGGCCAGTTGCAAATAATGCCAATCTTTGATCAGCCAAGCCAAACAGGGCAGCAAAATATATCCGGTGGCCCAACCAAATTCGATAGCGATCCCGAAAAACGACCTATATTCGGGCCCCACTATCTCCACCACTAGAAATAAACGTAAACCTAATTACAATTTTCCACGATTTAAATTTGTGAAGTAATTTCTTCGTAAAAAAAATTGATGAAAACGAGAAAGCAACTCCAAAGGTGTTATATTATTATCATTTTGATTATGTATTTTCATTTATTTTGGGCTTCTCTAATTATTCGAAGTTAAAGCTTATCTGTAAAATTAAACTTCTCACACATACAGCAAAATCTGATTAAAACGATAACTTGCCTAAACGGAAAATGTTCTTCGGCACGGAGCGATTTCCTACGTTAAAATAAAAAACCTGTTCAAAACGGAAAAAATATTCGATACCCTGTGATTCCGGTTTACACAGGTTTTACTTAATTTTGTTTTCAAAAACATATCTACAAAAAATAGATAAACTAATTTGTCAAATTTTTAACTCGCAAATTGGGAAAGCCTACTTTATTATAACGGACTTTCGACTGTAACGGACACCCCTTCGCCCCATTTAGTCAGTTAAATCGAGGTTTTACCGTATCTTGATTAATATTTGGTGTACTTTCAATTATATTGTAAAGGAAATGATTATAAAAAATTGTACATTTTAGTGAAGTAATAATTTGTTAGGCATTCTGAAATATTAATCATTTATCGGTTAGACGAATACAACATTTAATAGTTAAACTCAAGTGGAATTTTCAAATTTAACTTTCGTGAGAGGGACGTTACTTATACATAAATATGTAAAATTTGGCTTTTCTTTCTTACTGTGTATTTTCTGAAGTATTCTGTATAGATTTTCAATTGAGTGACATGTATACAAAAAGTATGACGTACTGTACATACAAATCAAACATGACATTTCTAAATAATTTTCGTACATTTTAATATATGTTAGAATCGTACTGTTTGATTAAAAGAATACATAGAGAGCGTACGGTATGCAGAATATTACATAAATACATACGGCATATTGTTAATCATGTAAAGAGAAAATCAGAAGTAAAATCGGAAGGAGGGCGGAACTATTAGATGCACCTGAATCAAAAATTGCTTTTCTTACTTCAATTGTTACAATTAAAGGCAAGAAAACGGATCGTAAACCTTTCTAAAATGATTCCCAAAAATACTGAAATCCAAACCCAATATCGAAGGTGCAGTTGCATATTCTAACTGTGTATTCAATCATTTGAAGCGACAGAATATATCGTTAAAATATTTATAACATCTTATAAAGAGAATAATCATTTTTTTAAAATTAATACTTGAATGTTTGTTCCCCAATGAATACTTGATGAATGCTCGAAGAATTAGAGTTCCCCAATAAAGTATTCATTGGGGACCAAACGTTACTCTTCGAATACGAGAAAAAGGAATGGAAATACTCACGTACGACGAAAGCCGAGGTAAACAGACCCGAAGCACCCATGGCCACTAAGAATCTGGTGGCGGCATACATGGGAAAATTGACAGAAAATGCGCCCACTAATCCCGATACGAAAGTTATAACCACGCACAAAAGCATGACCGGTCGTCTGCCGATCCTGAAAATATTTTTACTCTGTGAATATGAATACTCGCGCCATGGATACTTTACTCGTACCACTGAAGTACTTACCTGTCGGACAGTTGACCAAAAATTAGAACTGCCAACATGTAGCCGGCCATGTAGATGGATTGGCTGAATGACGAATACCACGCTCTATCGCACACCAGATCCCACTACAGAGGAAACAATATCATCAGTTTTCTGTAATAATTTAATTTTTACATCTTTCCTTAGATCTTCGGTAGTAAAATTTGTCATCCAGATGGCTACAAAAGATAGAAATACGTCGTTTTCACCAGTCGGACATATTTTAAAAAATAACAATGCAAATACCAGAAAATTTGGCTAATTTTCTGACAAAATGCCAAAGAATTCCACTGTCGACCGTAGAAGAAATGGACAAAATATCAAATAATGAGAAAAATTCAGGGGGCATGTATGTGTTGGTATCTATTTCGTTTAATATCTCGGGATGGGATAATGATTAAAACATTAAATTTGGCACGATATCTTGTGTATTAACCGGCATCGGTGCTCATAAATTTTGGTGGTTAAAGGTCGAGGGGTCACTTGTGATATCTGGAGTGATTTCGGACTTAATGAAACTTTTACTCGTTATATTGTGTTTACAACTTTTTAAAATAAAAGTTGTCTCTACCCTCAAAATTAAGTTTTTTTATCACTTTATAATAATAATAATATAAGTTTTTTAATAAAATCTCGTAACAGATGGCTCCACATATAAATTTAACTTTGTTTATCGGGGAAGTTACGCAATTTTGTTGCTTCATATTTTTAAAATACTGTAATATATTTGAGAGGAAAAAACCTTTCCAATCATCTAATTATTAAAATTGACCCAGGATCGAGTAGAGAAAAAAATTCTACGAAGAAAAATATCCTTTGCATATTATTTAGAATGGTTAATATATTTTTCTTATAATTTTTAAACGATAAATTAGAATTAGTCTCTAGAATTTAAATCTGGAATTAATTGCTAGAAATCGCTTATCATTAATAACTGCAAATTTATACACATTTTAAACGTATCCTATTTTGAAATTTTTTTATTTTCATTCAAATTCGTGACACTTAGCACACGAATAACGTGTTTTAAATTTCTGAATCTTTGTATAAATGATTTACGATGACGATAAACAACCTGTAACAACTCGGAAACATTTATATTTGATATTAATATTTAAAAATGTATTATTTTGTAAGAAAAATTATAAAACAGAAACAATTATTAACAAAATAAGTTTTATACTTTTAAAATACAATAAACCTGTCTAAAACGGAACGCGACGGTATCGGATCACAGCTGCTTTCCAGACAATGATCGCTATTTTAACAAGGAAAACAAATGGCACACTGTGTCTCTCGTTACTACGAAGCTCTGTTCGAACCTGTACGCTAAACATTTGTTACGATTTAGAATTTAGCTGCTGCTAAGCCGTAAATTTGCGCTTTACTAACGTTAGTTTGGCGTTAGACTGGTTTATGGTCTATTCATGTATAGCCGAGTACGTGTGTACTCGGCTTTACTTTTGATTTGTTATTGTTCTATACAATTTTTACTTGCGAATTTTAATACATTTCTTGCAACTTTCAACTTGTTTTTATCGTTTTGTAAATATACGTACCTCACTAACGATGGTGGAAGTAAAAACGGATGTGTTGTATTCCCATTTATGGCATGCTGCGGTTTCGTTTCTGAAACGGTTGACGTACACGTTACACGAACTCGGCGTGTAAATTCCATTAACTTTTTCTTTGGGAATACTAAAATTTTTCCATTCTTCCACGGTTACGTTGGTGTCGGGTGGTCTGGCGCACCAATGGTCCATGTCGGCGGCAAAGAAACTAACGCCCAAACCTTGCCACGAGCCCGGAAAGCTGGCGAACAGAAACATGATGAATATGTCCCTTTGCCAGGGCCCGTAACCTCCCACCAAATCGATCAGATCGGCCGGTCTCTGTTTATTTTTGTCCATGGCTTCAGCTTGGATTTCTGTGGAAATGCAAAGAAGAAAAAACTGAATAAGTAACTGTAATCTGATAATTAACTTATTGTTGTTTTACCTGTTCTTAGGCCGAATGAGTTTTTGATGTTTTATTTTTGAAATAAAAACTCAAACACTTACTTATTGTCACGTCGTCACAATGCCTGGCTACAAGTTTTAAACATATTTTAAGTGTAAAATATCACGTGGCTTCCAGTAGAGATCGGAAGTTCGTATGTACTTAATAGAGACCCCATATCTGGCCTCGATCTCGAGATTTTAACTTGTATTGTTTTTGAAGTTCATTGTGGATAAGCTATTGTGCAATATTTTTTTCCGATGCGAGATTATTTTCCACGAAAGAACGTCTATTGTACCACGCTAACCCTGTTAAACTTTAGTACAATGATTCTCTTCTCAGTTATTTTGGCAAGAATCGGGACGATGACGTGTTGTTGACCCGAGAACAGGCAAAGGTTTCGCTAGCGAAAACTTATATTAAATCGAACGAATGTTTCGTATTAGATATTAATTTCTTTCCTATAACTTTTACGCATCACGTATTCCTCCCCTCTCTTCATCGTTCTACGCGACTTTAAAAATTAGCACCGAACTATTTACGTCAGAATGCACAATTGCAAATTAGTATTATACGTCAAATGCGACTTACGGAGTTAAAATAGAATGGAAACGAAACGACGAATACACTATTCACTGCAGATTCGTTGCGTGATTCCTTCCTTCGCGTGTGACTCTACGAAACTGAGGAAGAGAAAATGGAGTTGCGCCGCGCATACTATAGTTTGACGTTGCTAATGGCTAAAAAACGTCTTCCTCTTTCATTCATGCTGGAAAAAAATAACGCGCAAGGTCGCAGTTATTTTTAGAAATTGCGTATCTTACTACATCTCCCCAGCCAATCTCACTTAGAATTAGTGTAAAAGAATAGTAATGTCAATTAGCCTAGAAGGGTGGCAACACTTCGTAATAATAATTACAATTGTCAGGCTAAGAACTACGATATATTAATATAATACTTCTATAAACTTTGCTCACTTTCACGCATTCGTTCAGCCGTAATAAGTTCGTGTTCGGGTATAAAATGCGATCAAATAATAGAATATTTTCCAAAAAAATAAATAAATTCATGAGTTTTGTGTGAACTTTCTGTTATATAACAGCCGGGAAAGTATGGCCATCGGTCAGAAAATTACTCCCCCAAGTTTTTTTGCGTTTTTGGACTCGGGGATCTCGAAACCTCCAAAAATGCAAAAAACTTGGTGTTTCTGTGTGCATAGATGTTTGTGTGGGGGCACAGTTTTGTTCGTTCACTTCCGTGTCATTTGTCGACATTTTCTGAAATTTTGAGGGAAGTTTGCGTATTGGGGACATCGATTCTATTAAATTTTAGTGGTTAAAGGTCGAAGGAGTGGGACATAAAGAGGTCACGTGCCGTATCTGGAGTGGGATGGGACTTCACGAAGATTTTGCTGGGTATTAGCATTTACAAATTGTCATAAAATTCCTTTCTATCCTCAAAATTAGGCATTTTGCCATTTTATAATAATAAAATCTGGTAACAGATGGCACCACACGCAATTTCAACTTTGTTTACCGGGAAAGTTTAGCAACTCTCTGCTGGATTTAAAATAAAGAATCAAATTTTGTCCCAAAAATCGCTGGCCGCTTTTGTTCGTGGCTGCTACTTGTTTATTTGGGCCAATTTGCTGCTTCCAAGCGCTATTATTTATTACATTAAAAATTACAGAACCTACTTTAAACTTATATTTTAAGATTTACGTGCTAAAAGCATTCCAATTTTGCTTCGAGCTGATTCAAAACGACGATTCTTTTCGTGAATTGCATTTATGCTGATAGGAAACTGAAATATTTATAACGAATATCTACTTCTATACTTCTATTGTAGATAGGAATGAGGGGAATTTGGAGTTTTTCCAAGAAAATTCAGCGCTGACGTTATAAGAAAATTTCGAATTTACCAACGTCGCTTGTTTATATTTTATTGTCGACACACGGGAAGTTTGTGAAAGTATTTTTTACTACGTCGTGCCACTAAAATTGGCAATTATCGAATGTGGAACAAACAACACAAAAGTAGTTCGGATCGAAAATACTTCGCTTATTGTGCGTAGAAGTCGAAAATAGTTTGTGCAATTTTTCACTTTGCACTTCGATTCCAGTAGACGTGAAATAATCTAAGTACCGAAAATCACTTAAATTTGCATCATTTTAAGTACAAAAATTAATGAAATCCATTACTTCGAGTTTATTGTTCGATTAAGTAAAACAATTGCTTCGCGCGAAATCGGTGAATTATTTTGTTTTTAAATATCAAAATTAGAGAATGTGTAACATAGAAGCTCTAGTTTTTTTAAAACACTAAAGTTAATTAAATATACAGCAGGAAAACATCTATTTACGTCGCCATTTTTAAATTTTAAAGCTATTTTAAACAGCCACTGACCTCATAATAGGTCGAATTTCATTGTAGTTAGACGGGAAACAAAATAACCGAATAATATGAAAATAATATGTACAAAAATGAATAAATTATTTGAGTCGACTAAATTTTATAAAATTCAGGCAGGCGGACAGTTTTGTTTGTCAGCCTGCGACGTCACTTGGATATGTTTTGTTAAATAAAAGTTCAATTAGTGCCACTTTTCGGTTCGAAAAGGATCTTTCAAACGTTTTCACCAAGATTTTAAACATTAATTTATAGAGCTGTGTATTTGATAAACAGTAATTAGCGAAATGTGGGCGGTTTTTAAGGAATAACGAAGCACAACTTACGTGAAAGAGGTTAGGAAACTGCCATTAAACAAGAGAAAAAAGTTGAATGGTGACTTACGTTTGCGTGCTTTGGAAACGGGTTAACAGAGAAAACATATCCCAGTATCCTTGGTTTATTTGTGTGACGTTTATGATCACGTGTTTAGCCGGTTTGTCAGCAAATAGCCTACCATTAATTTGAATCTGACCTTTACGAAGTGGACTTCCCCAGCTGTTAATACAGCCGCTCTATCAGACAATGCCAGAAATAATTTAAATTTCGAAGTCGTATTAATAAGTAATTTAACCAGTTTTGGTAATTGATAAATAAATGTGAAAGAAACCATCCACAAAATGGGAATATCAGAAATTTGATGGATGTTTATGGTTTGTGAAATAAGAAAATTCTAAAATATGTAATGAAATTATGTTGGGCCTTCATTAAATACTAAACTAGAGTTTCTCAAAGTCTCTTCTATTTTAGCATAAAAATGTGACTTTACACTGTTGGTAAACTTTTTAGTAAATAAAAAAATAAAATGAAAAAATTGTTGTGTTTGTTTTTAATTTAATCAATCCCGGACGGATCTACGTAATATTATAAAGAAAAACTGATTTACTGTTCAAGGAATTCGTAACACGGATGGCAAAGAGTTAGACATTTCGTTGTTTCCTGCAATAGATAATATGCTAAATTCCCATTTTGCGAGAGTCCGTTTCGTGGAATCAACATTGCAGAAAATACCGAAATGTCATTTCCTACAGCAGACAATCTGCTAACATAAATTTACTTTCTCGACTCCTTCTACAGCGTTCAACACACCAGCAAAAGTCGAGAAGGCTATCAGTACGTCACGAACAATAAAATGCCAAGAGCTAATTCCGAATAATACGAATCCACCGGTAGCCTAACGAATAAAACACCGAATCCTGGGTTCGCGCCCGGCCACGTGGAGTTTTCCTGGTTTTCTTCCCGTTTATAATTCTTATTAAAAGTCCTCCCGGGTGGCATCCCCTCGTTAGATCGCCCGCGTATCACCTTGCCGTATACGGACAAACCAAACTGAACAATACGAATCCTGATGTCCATCTTGAATCTTATCCTCTTCAATTCATTTTTTTTTTCATATTCTTTATCTTTTAACTTATCGGAGCCATTCTACAACCCGTAACCTATGTTCGGTTGTGTCATTTTCAATTTTTTTACGTATCCATCGTTGCCGCTATCTTTCTGCCGTCATTCATTTCCTCTTTCAACCGAAACTTTTAATGAAGACCATCGATCAAACAGCTTACGTAACCAGAAATTCAAATGTTACTGTAGTAAATATTAATGAATAAGCTAAACTTAAGCACGTTACATGGAAATTATTTTGATCTCCTCTTTACAACTAATTACCATTACGCAGCGGTTTCACCAGACAATAAGAATTATGTAATTATTACCAATAATTTCATAACTTTTTATACATTTTTTCCCCGAAGTGTGAAAAAAGACGTTAGAAATTAAGAAGACACGTTTGTGATACTTCTACGCATTAAATTTGTAATGTTTTACCAATTGCTCGCGTTGTATTTTTTTTACGAGTGATGTAAATTCTCTTACGGCAGTAGGAAGCGCCATATTTAACCTATACGCGATATATTTGTTGCCCGTTTCGTGGCGATATTACGTAGTTAAAAGTCTTATTTCCAGAAAAGGAACCTGAATTTTTAACACTCAAACTATGGAAAAATCACAAATTTTCCAACAAGTGGAAAAATGTCACGTAAAGCTAATCGGAACCAGTTTCGTCCACGACACGTGATCAGTATTCCACCAACCGCACAAGTCTATCATGCCTCCGACTTTTCGTTAGATCTAGCGATTTTTGTTTCAAATCGGAAAAAAAAACTCGAATAAGCTACTGTCGAGCTACATGAATTTGCCAAAATGTATTTTGTTTTGTATGTTATAAAATAAAATATGAGGTAAATAATAATAAATAAATAATAAATACAATCATCGCTAGAACACATGCGCTGCATCAATCCAATCCAATTAGAATTGGATTGATTAGTATAAGGCAACGCAACACTTGGACGATCTGCCAAGGGAAGACCACCTCCCAAGTGAATTTGTGAGAAATTAGCCTCTAAGTGTTAGACACGTGAAGAAAACCCGGGAACTCTACGCGGCCAGCTGTTAATCGGTTCGATCAGGATTATCTGACCACCGGTGCCAATAATCCTAATTGAGCTTAATTCCGAATTAAAAACAACAGGGGCGGGGCATACGTGTTCCTATTGCACATCAGCAAACGGGAAGTGACGCCATTATTCGTCTTTCGTTTCGAAGATTTCGAGTGCTGGCGGCCCATTTTTTATAAGTTTATGGCAATCCGCATATATTTCGAGACTATTTATATATTTATTTAATACTTTCTTAATTACTTTCGTATTTATAGTTGCTAGACGTAAACGATTCCCGTTCCAGACGATAATAATGGCGGTGCTTCCGTTTCTATTTTACCTCTCAAAATTTACTTTCAAAGTAATTTTTAAATAAAAATTTTATCACGTAAATCTCTTCCGAAAGTATCCATCTCTCTCGTAGCCAATTGAGGTCATTAATTCAATATAATTCTTTGTTTCGTTAAGGCCTTCGGGTCCTTAAACATCCTTATAAATGCCACGTAATTTTAAAAAATCCGAACGAATAACCACAAAAAATTCGCATAAAATTTTGTTAACAACCAATTGGAGTAAAATATTGAAATTTGTGTGTATTTTGAGCAGGCGTTGCACATTGTCGGCCCGGCCTAATCCATTGTTTATCGTTATCGTTTCAGTGTATCATCCTCGAGATGATTTATATAAAATTTTTATTGCGGATGATGCTAAATTTTCGTTGACGTTCGTTACACACGAATTTTCCAAAAGCACTTGTCATTGTCAGCGTAAGAAATAGTAAAAATAGCGCTCGATTTATTTATTGATAGACAAACTTTCTGTATATTTTCTTTGTTACATTTTATTAATAGGAATTTTTCAGTGTCGTAGTTACTGTTGTTTATAGTAAGGGAATTTACAGACTTTTACCGGAGGAATTCCCTAGTGTTTTACAGCAGTTCGTGGGAAAATGCATGCAGTCGAGCGTCACAAATGTCACAAACGTGTGCGTAACGATGTCTTGCTGTATGGTTATTTTCTACACTTTCGTCTTTCACCTTGATTTCCTCCATTTCAACTACATTTTTAATTTCCATTTACGAGAAAACTGACGTTTATCCGAAAACACGCACACGCGCACGCAACTACACAGTCACACACTACACACGTCTAACACACGCACACCATCATTATCGTCCATTGCAACTACAGCAATTACGTCGTATACAATGGCACAATGGGCATTATTAAAAATTCGATTATTAGAAAATATTATTTCTAATTGAATTTGACCGTTTAGAACAACAAAAATAACGATATAAACAATCGATTGTTAACTTGGAAATTCGGATATCCTGCATCCGATTATCTTGCTAATTTCATAATAAACGAGCAATTATTTATTGCGATTGCATTTGTAGGCATTTTAATGCATAAAACTAAATGCACAACTAAAAAAGTAACAAAGGCTTTGTTTTGAAAGTGGGAAACGGAGTAATCCACGTTATATCGTTTCTAATAGGAAAATTAGTTTCGGTTTTCGAACTTTTAGGGACGAATTATGTTCGAAAACCATTCGTATTCGACAATCAAAGACGAAAGAGAGAATCCTCAAAAATGGTGAAATTAAAGTATTTTCTCGCGAATGGCCACAAGCGAAGAGCGAGAACGGGAAGAAATGGTTCGAAAAGGTACCCTTTAAGATGCTAATAATACTGTTTTATTAAAACAAATAAGACGGAGCGGTTTTAATAAAAATAGGACCAGACCGTCTTCATCACATTTACTACTTAACGCATCTATTTCGGCCATTTGTCTTTAGTCTAATTTAAGCGCCGTTCCTTCATTGTTCCGGTTTACTTCCTCTGCCAGTTCACGGAATAAGTCGGCACAATATTGGCTTATCGTACAAAAAGTTGCGCCTCTTTTAGATGCCCTATTAAAATAAGAAATTGGAAGAAAGAACAATGAGAGCGACGGGTAAGTAATAGTGAATGCTCGAGGGATTTCCTTTTTTATATGTCTAGACTGTTCCAGAAAGGTTACTGAACGAGTTTTTAAAATTAAAATAGTTAAGTAGCAATCGCGTGATTGCCGAATTTAACTTTAGTCAACTGCTGGCGAGTGAAGACCTGTCTGTTGCGCCATTCCGTAATTGGGCTGCAATTTGAAATAAACCAGCAACGAGTTGCTCAACTTTCCCGGCGACATTTAAAAGTTTGGTGGAGCCATCCGTTATCGTATTTTATTTTATCACTGGTTTCGGCTTATAACAGTATTATACTTAGATCCGATTTGTGATTATTTCCCGTTTAGACTGGTTTCTACAAAATATCCGTTTTAACCCGAGTTTACACAGGTTTCATTGTAAACGCGGGTTTATCTCTGCAGACTCAAATATCGTAAATTCCGAAAAAAGCATTACAGAAGGTAAATTGTAATTTTATACGGGTGACACGGCTGATAGATTGTAACGAAATATTAAATCGGTCGGGTTGACGATGCCAAACGGAAGTTTATATCAAAATGCGCTGTAAGTACTCGAAATACTTCATTAAATTTGAAGCGAAACTTCCGGAATGCGATTGGAAGAATACAGATCACGTGTCTCAGACGAAACAGCGATTCTGGTTGGTTACGTGTGACATTTTTCCACACTCGTTCCTTTAATCTATACTAATATTATAAAGAGGTAAAGTTTGTAAGTTTGGATGTAGGGGTAATCTCCGAAACTACTCATCCGATTTCAAAAATTATTTCACCAATATTTAGAATGGACCTTCGGGATGGACATAGGCTGTATATTATTCCGTTCAACATTCATATAAATTAAAAGGTATCATCTAGGGTTAAGGCTTTTATGTCCAACAGATGGCGCTACGAAAACGACGACCTAAGTTTGCTTTTCTGTGAGGATGAACTAAAGCGGATCATCATCTATCTATCTATATAAATAAAAATGTAATGTTCGTTTGTTCCTACCGATTAGCTTTGAAATCTTGACACGACGCTGCATTCGAATACGCACGTTTTTATATAATATACGTGTCGAAATTCCCCCCACTGGGGGAGATGGACAGGGTTAATGCTTATCGTAAAGAACTCGGCTTCTATTCAGAGCCGGCCCTACCATAGGGCGAACGGAGCAGCCGCTCCAGGCGCTAAATCCCAGTGGGCGCCTCAGTGGTAAAGAAAATTAAAGGGTATAAATTAGGGGCAACCAAGGGGGCGCCATAATAGGATCTCGCTCCATCTTAAAACTTGCCTCAGGCCGGCACTGCTTCTATTTATACTATTTTAGATGCGATTTTTTTTTTGCGTTTTTAATTGCGTTTTAATCGGGTACGAGAGAATGTACACTAAGAAGGGATTTTTCGAAAAATTCCCCCTCCCACGGGGGAAGTGTTATACATTTATAATAGATACATTTTGAGCCACAACAACGCGTGCGCGGGGTCTGCTAGTGTTTAATAAAAATAAAACGATTAGTAGAAATTATAGGTTCGAAAATAATGTCATTTATTATCACTTTACGATTATTTTATGTTAAACAATACAAAATGTAAGAAAGTTTCGTCGAAATCTCGATTGGTTACGTGTTTATAAAGAGTATCTTCACTCTTGGTCTACCCGTAAAAGTTTTGGTAAAAATACAACCATAAACGACAAAAACAAGTGCGAATCGTTACAACAGTAACGTGAACTTAAACAATCGAACGGCTCAATAAATAAAGTACCGAAAAAGAAATTTAGAAATTTCGTCCAGTGGGCTCCTTCACTGCAGTTTGGCTCGTTTCGACGAAACACCCGGTACGTTGTGAACGACAGAATTTATTTTTGTAATGGCCGACACGGCTTTGTCTCCCACGTCGAAGCTAGTGACGTAATTCCTGATGGTATCTAAAGCTTGCACGGCTTCCGAGAAGGATGGAATCTTGGAAGGTTCCTCGTCGTCCTCTTCGTTTCCTCTTCCTCTCCTCTGTTTAGTGTAAAGCGTTTGATCGGCCGTCGTCTGGCAGACAGGTACGTCTTCGTCGCAGGACACGTAATGATCGAATTGCAATTTTTCGCTAGGTGTGGCCCGTAGCCAAATGTCCGACGGTACGAAAGGGTGGCACTGCGAATCTTCCTCCCCCATTTCTCTTCTTCTAAGAAATTTCGTCTTCCTAAAACTGCTTACAATGGTGGATTTTTCTACCTCGTCCCAAGCCGATACCGCGAAGTACAGAGCGTCTAACACACTAATTTTAGGCTTGAAAGAACGATCCGTTAACGAAACCCACTTTTGAATCAGGTGTCTTCGATAGTTCCGTTTAAATTCCTCGATCACTCCTTGTTTCAGAGGGCGTAACACGTCATTCTCGTCCGACGGAAAGTATTCGATGTTGATGTTACTTATACGCTCGGTATCGGGAGGATGCGAGGGACTTTGATCCAATAACAAAAGAACGTTTCTGTTTTTGGCCGCCATTTTGGCATCGAGAGCTTTCAGGTAAGCTTCGAAGACTTTACGAGTCATCCACGCGTTCTTGTTTGCTACGTATTTACAAGGAAGCGTGCGAATATTTTTGAAGGATCGAGGATTTTGGTACTTTCCTATAACTAGGAGCGGGAGTTTTTCGGTTCCGGACTGGTTGCAACACAACAATATTGTTAGCCTCTTGCCGATTGGTTCCTGGTGGGTGGCCATGTCTTCGGGTACCAGATCGTAATATATACCGATTTCTTTGGCGCTGAAGACGTCCTCCGATTTGTAATCCTTTGAAACGGTGGAGAACCACGTTTTTTCTTTACTTTCGCTGCTGTAGACGATGGCGTATCGATTTTTGAACCTGTCGATCCACCCGTTACTGGCTTTGAAGTCTTCGATTCCCATCAGATTGGCCATGTGACAAGCCTGTTCTTTTATCATCAGACCGTCGATCAGAACGTCGTACTCTTGAATCTGTTTGATCCATTCCACCATTGCGTACTCCAAATGCGCAAATTTTCCTTCTCGAGAGCGTTTCCTTTTGATGCTGAATTTTTCTACACACCACATGATTTTTTCCCTGAAAAACAATAAAAACGTTAAATTATTTTCCAAATAATAACTGCCATTGTTACAAATAACTCCTAATTCAGTTTATATGTCATAAATTACGTTTCGATACGAATAATAGGCTATACGGCGCTCAAGTATGCGAAATCGTATATTTTGTATATAGGCCTACATCTCATTGTTATATATAATTCTTATAGTTTGAGGTCTTTCAGTTTAGCGCCACACTCGATTTAGTGCCAACTTCGGAAGCGAGCATTTTTCTTCTTTCTAATAAAAATATGTCACAAATGTTTATCGAGACGGAAAAGTCAAATCCAGTCCTAAAATACAAAAGAAAATGTCTGGCTCGCTCCCAAATACATTCGTTATACGTGTGACGAAAACGGGGTAAACATATTTATTCGCGGTGTTAACTGGATAAACAGGAACATAAAATAACCCGAGCGAATTTAAACTTCGATTTAACAATTTGGTGCATTGATTTACTGTGAGAATAGCAAGCACAAATACAGCTGTATTAACTGTATTTGTGCTGTGCAGCTAACACAGCTTATTGTTGACGCGGATACCGTAAATACTCAAGGATACAGAGTTTACAACTCGTTTTACGACTTCCTAAATGTAGCATTTGTAGGATTTAAAGTAACATTCGATAAGCTTTCTCGTATGTCAATAGAGATACAACGATACGTGACGGAGAAGCGTAACGCTCCACGACCTTCGTATAGAGAACTATCGTAAAAACAGTGAAAATAAAGTAAATGAGGCGTGATCAACTCGACTAGTTATTTCGTGGCAGATTACATTCAAATTTTACAAGTCATAATTGTTCGTTCCGTCAACGGTGACGTATTTCCGGGAAGTTTTACGTTTCGTATCAAATAGACAGGTCTCGCCATCTGTTAACTGAAATCGAAACCGTTTTTTACAAACCATAATTTCTACTTTTAGCATATTTTCCCATTTCTTTTTGATTAATCTCGATTTTTACAGTAAAACATTTTCAATTCTCTCGATTTTCCGGCAGAAAAATAGTACATTCGCCGGAACCGACGTCATCAGTGACGTCGCTTCCGTTTAGCCAATCGCCTTTAAAAGACGGAACTTTCTATAATCAATCGCGGGATGAAATTTAAAATTTTCTAGCCAGTGGAAAGTGTAATTTCGAATTTACCAGAGTTAAATGGGAGGAGAATTAAAGAAAATCGATTGGATTACGTCAACGACGGTTAGAAATCGATTAACTTTAAATTACCAAATATTTTTATTGCCATTGTCCTACGTTTAGGGAAATCGAATTTGAGAAATTTTTATGCAGATTATTACGATGTCACTAGAGTGTGTAAGAAATAAACGTCAGGGGCAACCGTTTGTTCAGTATAGTACAGTAGAACCTGTGTAAACCGGAATCGCACGGTACCGAATATTTTTTCCGCTTTGAATAGGTTATTTTCTAACTTAGAAAATCGTTCCGTTCCGAAGAATATTTTTTCGTTTACTCAAGTTCCGTTTTGAATAGGTTTCGCTGTATATATTTTTGCGTCATTCTCGTATAGTTCTTTTGTAACGGAGATGTGTAAAATGGACCATCGTTCTGATAATACGAATGCGCCTATACCAGGGCAGCCAGACGCGTGTGATTTCTGTACCGTCACTTTTTATATTTTTCCTGTTCCGTAGAGAATTTATCGGGTTTCTAGTGTGGGTTTTTCATTATTTGGAAACGTCCTCTCGATACTTAAAAGACGCCAAATAATACGCTCCCAAAAATTTCGGTTGGCACGTGAGAAAATTTTGGCAGCTTATGTTCTATAGGAGCCGGACGGGTCTAAAACCCCCAGGAATTTTTCGAGGAGGGTTCTTCCGGATGCGTCGAGTTCCGTCCCTCACACCAGACCGCGCCATTTTGGGTATGATAATCGAACAAAAATAAATGCAGCGCTCATTACAAATGTTTATTGTTTTCCTACGAACTGCAAAAAATTTCGGTCGTCTTGCTGCCCCCTACTAATGATATGGCAATGTACAGTACGCATCATCGGTATGTAAGCTCTCCCGAACGTCGAGTGAGATGACATTCCAGAATTGTTATTACTGTCGATTCGTTTTAAACCTGTATTATTATCATATTGTACGCGCATTCTGCAATTGTCTACTCTAAATTATGACTTACGACTCGGGGAATTTATTAGGCATAAACTTACAAAATCGAAAGTTTTGGTGGATTCTACATTCGAAGAAATGCAAGACAAGAACGATTTTAATCGATCCGAGCTGAAATTTCACGAAAGAAAAAAAAAATAATAATAATAAAGCAGTGAAAGTCGAAAGGACACCAGGACGACGTGAAATGCTATTTCCCCGTTACGGGCCTCGTCGTCTTTTTTAGAAACCCCCAAATAACGATCGATGACGTCGACTTCGTAGTAGACGGGAGACGTAGACAGACGATATATTTCAGAGATAAGTCGATAAAAATCCAAAAACAAATATTCCGCGAACTAAATAAAGTTGTATTATAATTATTATTCAAACAACACTAACCAGTTTTTTCTATAATAATAATAACAAACCGAAGTATTTTCCTTTACTAGTGTAGCGTTTTCTTGCTATAGACGCACCTGTAGGAAATACGGGAACAAGTTTCCCTTTCTGTTTTCCTCTTAAAAAGGCAATGATCGACTAAGAGGAGGAACGAAAACAAAGAAAACGCGTATAATTCCTTCTACGTCTAATACAATAAGTGTGCGGGGTGAAACTCATGACAGCCAGTGATTGAAAGAGCGTTTGTTTCTTTGCACACGGCAACACGAGACGTGGGCCATCTGCCGAGGCGGAATGCCTCCCCGGAGGACTCTCTGTGGAAAACTGGTCCCTCTTTACGCAAAGAAAACCCGGAAAATTCCACGCGGCCGGATCGTTGGCCAGAAGACAATCCACCACCGACTACCGGTGTTCGGTGGTTTCATCCACTTGGCCACTGGTGAACATTGCATCGTAATTCTCAAATATTTGATTTTATTAGAAATAACGTTAGTGACATTTCAAAACATTTGCAAACGGTCCATATCGCCCAATGTAAAGATGAAGTGGATCATAATTTCCATGTGGGGTGAAAGGACTTCAGTTTTATCCCATGTGGTTCCTGAGCCCTGTTCCTTACCATCATTAGCGTAACAAACCGATCCTAGGGGTTTTGTTTTTCTGGATTGGCACCTAATAATTTCACTTTGGCTTTATCATTTCGGGAATTTTTGGGGCTATTTAGCCTTCTGGAAGCCAAGCCTCCAATCCCTGTCTAGCTAACTATTGACAATCTGCCGGCTCCATTGTGGGTTAGGCCTTGCCCAAAATAGGTGTAGTTTGAGACCACCCACATATACTCCAGTTGTACTATAAACCATACATAACACATAATTTATGTAGTCACATGACTGTCTTTCTTCGACAATCTCGCGACGTCACGGCTCGTGGCGTATCTCTAAAGAATCAATCCGCACCACGTTTCGGACCAGAAAAAACGAGATAAGGAAAAGGCGAAGTGCGTGAGGGATTACCTCTGGTTTGCGATGAGATATGGATTCATTAATTAAGAACAACTACTGTAGCTCGCGCTAATTCCAATTCTAAGGAATCCAAAAATAATCGAGGGGATCTAATATTCGAATTATCGAAATATTGAGAATTATGCGTACAAAACAACGAAAAATTCAGGAGGCATCGCAACTTTTTACAGCTAGAGACAAGAAAAACACGTGGTATTGACAGTGGCCAGTGTTGCAGTTTTGTGTAAAATCTTACCACCAAGAAAACCTCTAAGTATAATAGAAAAACCTCTAAAAACCCTTTAAATAGTTACGAGTTTCGTAAATAATCTAAATAATAGCAGTAACTACAACTATTGATGTCATTCAAACACGTTATTTAAATAATTACAATGGAAGTTGGTTAACTCGAACTGGGATAACTCGAAGTCATTTTGTTTCCCCATCGTCTGGATGTTTACATGTTAAATCAAACCCCAGAATTTTAATTTAAATAAAATAACGTTCATCTGTCGAATAAATTAATCAGAAACGTTGTATAAAGCGCGGGAACCACGTACCACTAAAAATAAACACGGTGTCACATGATGGCGGGCGAGGGGTGGTGATTTCCAGACAGCGTGCCTGACCTATATTCTGTAATTGCCATTCGAACTTGTTTTTTCCAACATTTTTCTTTTTTTTTTAAACTTCATTACTGATTGATTTCTCCAACTAGCTGACGTAATGGAATAAATGGACTTTCGATAAATTAATTTTAAAAAGCGATTATAGTCAGATTCTCTGTAAAAGCCATTGTACTACCAACGCCTCCAAAATGGCGCCATATTGGAGGTATTTGTAGTATACGAATTTACTTTATATCGACGTAGTATTCGAGTATTCGCTAGTAAATTCTTTAAATTTGGGAGAAAAGCCTAAACCTGGCCATTCCGATTACAATCTGCGCATTTCTTTTCCTTTAATCCCGATTATCCGGGGTAATACATATTATCGTTTTAAAGTGTAAGAAAAGTAGTGTATTCGTTTACGGGTTGGCCCAGGATAATGCGAAACCTCGGATAATCGAGGTTCCACAGTAAATTAAACCGTGAATAAATGATTTATGATTTAATAATATCATCGATTAAAACGTTTAGAAGGATTCTAAAAAAAGCATTAAAATCGAATAAGTTTGTCAAAATCGAGAAGCGACGCCATATTTGTTTCCGAACCGAAAAAATTTAAACGATTCTACGTCATATTTTTATAACGGAAACAAAAAGTCGAAACGACACGGAGGACGAAATTTTTTTATTTTTATTTATTTGCTTCGTTACGGACTTCATCGTATTTTCTTACGTGCCCCGGAATAGCGATCGATCGTAGTAAACGGGAGACGTAGAGACGATGCACTTCGAAGACAAGTCGATAAAAATCGAAAAAACAAATATCCCGCCGACTAAATAAGGAAACTGGTGTTAAAAATTACTACACGAAAACACTGCAACCAGTTTTACCTTCTGTAATAATAATAAGCAGGAGAATTTTCCTTTAACTAGTGTAGTGTTTTCGTGCTATAGACTACGTTGAGAAGAAGACGCCAGGAAACAAATGTTCCTCTTCCTGTTTTGCGCTCCCGTATCCAGCAATCACCGTTTCGCGGGGAGGAGTGTCGAGAACAAAGAAAAACAAGCGCCATTCATCCTCCTACGTCACACGGTACCGTTACGTAGCGCGTGTGTTGTAAGCGAATACGTCGTAATCGTCTTTAACAGCGTTATGTCGTTTACCTGTTAGACACAATGGTGCTCAACGTGGAGGGTGGGAGATTCAGTTTTTGAGCGATTTCCATACGTTTCATGTGCGGATTTTTGTCGACTTCTTCCAGTATTTTTAATTTGTCTTCGGTGCTGAGCTGTCTGGGTGCCCTTCTCCTCTCCATTCTTTTCGAAAATTCGTCCACGTGTTCGCTTCTCCGTAGCGTGACGTCGCTGGCATCCGAAATATCGATCGACGGGCTCGACCGTTCGGGTGAAAGTAAAAGGCGATGAGGAAACGGCGAAACGGGTGAAAGAAAATCCATTTTTTGGGGAATTTCCCCGATTTCGGAGTGAGGTGATAATTAATTAATAATTAACTATTCTTTTTAACTGCGGGCGAAGCTTTGTCTATTAGGCCGGTGCAGTTCGGAAATTCTTCGATAGAGGGCTCTATCAACCCGATATTAAGGAGGGTGGAAACTATTGTTTTTGGCAAGGTCTCTGAGCACACGTGACCGGACCCCTTTCTTGAACCTGTAACAAACGTTTAAGATAATAGAAACTTTATCTTTATAGCCGCTTCGTTACTTTTATTCAGTTTCGACAAACGCGTTACACACATGAACACCGTCACACAAAGCCTACTTACTCCCCTAAGCCCTTAATGGAAACTACTTTCGTTAGTTAAATAATAACGACAACGGCAATTAAGGCTGATACATACCTTACAACCTCATTTAAAGTATCTGTTGACGCGCTAATTTACATAATGATCGATAGAATCGGGGTCACCTTTTTATCCTGTTTTATATGGAATATTACAGAATACATTAAACGTAACATAAAAAGTACATAAAAATGTAATTTGTCTGTCCCATGCAACAGTTACATAGATCCGTGTATACACTTACAATTGCACTTCCGCACGGACTCCTGTGTTGTTATGTGCAATGACCTTTTATCCCGTAGATAAAAGATACAGTACTTGCTTACAGATCCAGTCGTAAAGGGTCCTATTTAATTTCATTTGATTTGTTGCCTGTACTTTGTATGCTTGTCGATACGCGTACACGTAGCGTAAAATCGTAAATCGTTGGCTATTGCGTTAAAGTCAAATAATAGTAATACGGATAGTCGTAGATTTACAATAGATTAACAATATATACTTTTTATGGTAAACGTTTTGGCTAGCGGTTAGAGGAAGATTGTGGGCCTGGGGGCCTGGCCGAATAATCGCCTTGCTAAAAAGGCGACTTTTAGCACCCTTTTCCTTAAAAAGAAAACTTTACATTTGGCCCAATGTCTGCTCTCTAATCGACTTACGCGTAGCCTCCTTTCGTTTAGGGCAGTGTTTCTCAACCTCTAACGAATCGTCGCCCCCTTCAGTAAAACCATTACGTAGTATCGCCCCCTTCACTAAAAAATACCAATGCCGAGGGCCAAGACTAAGGCCAAATTCGTACTGCATCCAATAGACTAGTGACTAGTATAATGTTATTTGTTTAATTATCGTACGATATAACGAATAAAATATCTAATTATTCTTAATATAATGTTTTACTATATCGCCCAGAAAATTGTTTTTCGCCCCCCAAAATATAAATTGTTACAAATCACCCCCTCAACATGGAAAAACGCCCACATGGGGGCGATATCGCCCCCGTTGAGAAACACTGGTTTAGGGCCTCTAGATTCGTAACGTGTCATAGTGTATGCAATTGCGTGCGTGCCATTTTACTCGACCCGAAGAACAAGAAGTTACAGCAAGAGAATCGAACTCGGACTCTTCCGGACTCTAGTTCTAACAGTATAATACATGGTCATTCTATCGAAATCGCATTCCCGTCAAAGTATCGCAACTCTGTATTCTACTGTGATGTATATCCCATAAAAATAGTATGTCTCTGTGTTCGTTGCCATTTGTTGCTTATTGCAAAGGAGACACGGAGCCATTTTTCAAGAAAACGTCAGTTAAAAACCAAATAACAAGCTTTCTATTTTTGAGGCAGATATTTATCCTTCACGCAATGGACTTTTGCTGCAAAGAATTAAAACATTTTTGCATGTTTTAAAACTATTTTTAAACTTCAAATTCTGGTTAAACGATCGCTTTCGACCCATTTCTTTCTATATTTAAAATACACCAGAAACTACGAGAGATGTGAACATATTCCCGCATTATTAATAGATTATCAATTAAAAACAAAAAAATATATTTTGTTATTTAATATGACCTATTCGCGTTCGATTGTTAAAAAAATAAACGGAACGACATAAAATTCCCCTTAAGCAAATCAAATGAACTGCCGAACGATCACATGATTAGAGCAAATATAAAGGAGAAAATCTCATTCTGTAGTCGACTCCAGACAAGTAAACATGGCTAAAGTCGCCCTCTTCGCTTTCGTCATCTTCTTGATTGTTTCTGTCAATTCTCAATACTTCTATCCTATGTTGGATAACTTCGCTCCTCTTCATCACGTGGGCCATTCCAAACCTCTGAATGCCATCGCTTACATGGAAGGTCAACACGGCAACGGAATTCTTTACTTTCATCAATCTGTAAGCTAATTATAACCCTTTTATTGTTTTAATCAATTCTTATTTTATGTAATTTGTAAAATTGGCAAGGATTTTGGGTAGGGGTGGACGTGGCAAATCGCTAAAACTTTTAACTGCTGTTTCGAACTCGACGTCGTTGTTACTGTGATAAAGAGGCTATTCTTTAAAAAATGCAATTTTAAGAAAAGTTGAATAGCCTCGTTTTATAGAGGAGACCTTTTTTTCAGAAAGAATGAGCCTTGTTGTGGAGAACAAAGCATGAATTTTTAAAGAAAGGGCTCCCTTTTAGTGAGAAAGCGTTGATTTAGACAAGTTCATCGCCTTTTTTTTTAATTTTAAACAGTAGTTTGAGCCTTTTCATCCTTATAATACTACGAAAATGAATTATATACAGTAAAACCTGTGTAAACCGGAATCGCACTGTTTTCGGCTTGGCAGGTTTTTTAAAATAGAAAATCGCTCCGTTTCGAAGAATTCTTCTCTTGAGGAAAGTTTCCGTTTTAGAGAGTTTGTACTGTATGAAAAAATCAAATAATTAAGGAAATTGTTAGATCAAAATTCGATACGAGTAAGGTAGAGAGACAGTGTTTTTAGCAAGTTCCATATTTTGAATGCCCTGCTTTATATTATTTTTTAATAATTCTTTAAGTCTGAACCAGAAAGCAGGCTAACGAGAAAGGGGAACAACCCGGAAAATTCAATTTCTGTTTATCGAACTAATAAGTTATAATTTGATTTTTTCGATGAAATCGCGTAATCACCCCTCGTTATTTATTTAAATTATTAAAAGTACCAAAGAAACCTGCAAAGATGCGTGAGTCATTTTCAGCCTTCCATTGATAAATTGTCCAATTTCGATAGTTTCGGAGCGTAACTGGGTCAAAAATTGAATATTTTTGATAAGTAAAAGATAAATAAAACTAAAAAACTCGAATATAATAATAAAAAAATTGCTGAAAAAGTCCAATTGCTATTATCATGGAAACGAAGGTGTCGGATTAATTTCGCACCTCCAGCATTTAGTACTAATTTGTTATGGTAATTTTTAAGTTTTATTGCGAATTTTCCTTGATTATTTTTGATAAATTATCTTACAATCAACAAAAATTTACATTTTAAAACAGCGTGGACCGATTGCCATCTTAATATATTATGCCCATGCGGAAAAATATCATATTGCATACAAAAACTGGTACAGAGGAAAAAGTTCATTCTCTTATTAAATAATTTCACTTATTTTTTGCTTCAGTTAACTTTATCGCCAGGAATTTCATAAAATTATCTTTAAATTTCAGTCTCCCGTTAGTCCCGTGATTATAACGGGAGAAATCCACGGTTTGGAAAAGGGTGAACACGGAATGCACGTTCACGAATTTGGAGATTTAACTCATGGTGGGTGTTTATTTTAACAAAGATAAATGGTAATTACACACAGCAGTTTTCTGGTAACGTTTTTCGATTGTCTAGGATGCGAGAGTGCGGGAGAACATTACAACCCCTTCCACAAGAACCACGGAGGACAATTCGACGACGACAGGTAAATTTCTTTTAATTTTCTGATAAACATCGGGTGTGTCAAACTGACTATCCTTCCACATTGCAGACACTTGGGAGATTTGGGTAACATCGTGGCCGGCGCACACGGAGTGGCCAAAGTGTACAAAGTAGATCAAGTGATGAGCCTGTTTGGAGAACATTCCGTGCTCGGAAGAACCATGGTGGTAAGCATTTTGTATCTATTAACACGCGGGATAGTCCAGTTCTTTTAGAAAAAGGAGCACAGAACATAAATATTCAAACACCAAGAAAATTACACTATTGTTTTTCGTAACTGGCTATTTGACACGTGGATTAACGATTGGCTCGAGGTCGAATTTACTTTTTTCACGCGTTCAATAAGAAAATACGTCACTAAACGAAAACAAATGACGGATGGTAACCTTTTTTGACTTGTCCAATTGGAGTGGGAACCGTAAACCCATAATTTACAAATTTAGGTCGATTATAGTTTTTACTTACCTCTGTTTATTAACATAGAGAATCGTTGACAGGTGCACGCCAATCCAGACGATTTAGGACAAGGAGGAGACGAAGAGAGCAAGAAGTCCGGAAATTCCGGCGATCGCGTGGCTTGTGGCATCATTCACTTAATCAAACACTAAAAGACGCAGAACGAGGTTAAGGATACCTGTATATTTTCACATAACCATTATTTATAGTCTAAATTATGTCTAACATCTTACACCAAATTTATTTAATAATTCTGAGCACAATAAAAATTGGGTTGTTTATACTTTGTGGTTTTATATGTAGATTCTCCCGTGTTGGAGCCATTAACCAATGGCCTTCAGCAGTCCGAGGATTCGGATACGAAATGTTTTCACCAGTAGTACTTTAGATCCATTTTTCACTATTTCGTTGGACCCACGGCGATTCGGGCCCAGTAATAGGGAGGAAAAAGTTAAAAGACCCACAATAAAATGTAGTTTTCCGACAGATTTCGTGTAGAAACGGATCGATGTCCGATAGAAACGAGGTCAAATTAGTTGGAGCTTCTGTAAACAGCCCCCCGTATACACGCCTGTCTGAACTTTTATTCAAGATAACCGATAATTCAAAAACCGGTGTTCTATTACTTTCTTAAAAGTTATTTTTTCACGTAACAATGGAATTGCTTACGTATCACTTCACTATTTTCATCTGAAATTTCTTACTTTTTGGACCACGTCACGTCACTACGTTCCGAGGAAAGTCCACACGATCCAAACGAAGCAGAACGTTACACCGAAGCATCGTTCAAAATTCGTTATTTCGAACAAATTACGTAGAAAATTGCTTTTATACCGTTAGATAAATGACAATTTTGGCTTTCCCGGGCATCGAACATATTTGCTCTTCCGCAAAATATTTTTCTGGAATGTCTAAAGTTAGAAAAGTTTTAAAATAGACGATATATTGCGGAACAGATAATTGCGCAATTGTCCTAATGCCTGTATACGATTACTTGTTCCTACAATTTATTATTATTTATTATATCAGGCAATAGGTCGACCACGCGTGTAAAAATAACTGTCGTTCAGGTGACACCGCACTACAAATGTTTATTGTTTTTTTACGAGGAAAAATTATTATAAATCGACCCAGATAATGGTTTTTTGACCTTTTGTATATTCCAATAAGAGTTTTCGAATCTAAAAACACGACGTAACAGATATTGCAAATCTCGAGATGTTATGTAACGGAGCACCACACAACTTGGCATTGGAGAAAATTTAAACAAATGGTCTGCAATTTTTGAATTGTTCCTCCCGTTTGTTTATATTAGCGAGTTCTCTAACGCTTAGCAATTAAGAAACACGCAATTTACAAATTTCTTAGTCACGTTTATTCTTAGTTTAGGAGAATTTATCGAGGGCAAAGAGCGTGACGTCCTCCATCTACGGGTATCGTCACACCCGTCACGAACGACGCGCCATCCGACGCTAGAAATGCTATAGTGTTGGCCACTTCTTCGGGATTTCCCGGTCTTCCCAGAGCGTGGGTGGTCTTGCTGTGTTCCAAGAACTGAAAGAAATAACAATTTACCATCACAATAATTATCGGAAATAAATTTAAACTACTTCAGAAAACACCTAAACATCTATAAATGCACGTCAAGTAACACTACCAGAGTGCCTTAAATTCGCTACTTAGAAAGACTCTCGAAAGCTCCGTGTTTAATAATTTCGGTGTAACCGTCGCTCGAAGGTAAACCGAAAATGGGGGTCGAAGCGCATTGCTTGGCGTTCGACCACCCACTTCCGGTGTGCCGATATGACAAGTAATCTCGTATGACGGATCACTCCTAGTAGTGACGCAAGGTACGTTCAAGGCCCTAATCGGCCTTTCACGACGGAGCAGTGGCCTTTTCCGGCTCTGCAGATTCACAGGAATGTCTCCGTCACATTGCCAGCTCTTCAGATTTGTTGTCAATCGAGCATTTGTGGCATTCAGCTTTCACCATCCGCGAGAGAGGTGGAGAGCTGATTGCAACATCATTAACTAGAATTCTTATGGATAAAGTTACAGTAAATTCTACATTCAGTTTGGTTTCGAGAAATAAATACTGTATATGTTAAAATTAAAATGGATGACTGGCAATTTAAATTTTATTTCGCATCGGTCATCGTTACATGGTTAACAGAGAAGATGGAATAGGGAAAACCCAATTCTCTTAGGTGACACAGCATTATACTCTTCACGGTATGACGAGTATAATTAATTTTCAAAGAAAGCGAAAATTTTGTATATGTGAAGATTTTTTTTTGGATATTGTGCGAATTTTTTAAATACCAATTACTGCATTCGGCTCGAGATCTAGATACAGATTGTTCAAGCAGTTACACAAATTTCGTAAACCATAACGTCAAAAAGTTCGTCCAACAATTTAGTGACATCACGCGTTTTATCTAATTACAGACGTTTTTGTAACTCTGGAAATTCCGAAAGAGATAAGTGCGCTTTTACGCACGTTCGGCTCGTTTTAGAAGCTAACATTAACAAAAGAGAGTGACCGTACTTTGCAGTGATACGTCATTCGTATCGCTTTCTCTCGTCAATTTTATGTAATTCGACCGTTCCCGTCCGACCCGTTTTTAACGAAATACGAGATTCGACAGCGCAATATGCTGGAAACCAAGGCCAAATAAGACCAACCGTTCTAATTTTAAACTGTTTATCGGAGATGGTGTATTTCTGCAAGCGGTATTAATTAAATAATTTACTTGAATATAACTGATTAATAAAAGGGAAATATAATGTACATATGAAATGAGTGTATTGACTTAATATATTTGTGAGAATATAATTAAATCGTTATAAATACCAACAGAAAAATAATTTGAAAATTTTGAGATCCACTTTTCTAATGCTTTGTTTCTAGAAAATGAGCCCCTGTGGATTTTTGTTAGCGCTTTTCTGTTAGTAATACTTCTATGGAACTATTATTGCATTTGGACGGATGCCTTAGATGTATTTAACAAGAGAATTTGGTAACATCTGAAAATATTTTACATGTATTTGGATGTGCACAATCTGTGGGAGTAATGACATATTCTCTAATATCAATGGGAAGCTAAAATATTGGATAGATACTATTTATTTTGTTACTATAGTTATATTCTGCTGAATATCTTAGATTTCTCTCCCTTTTTTAACTCTGTTTCGTGAAGCGTACAAACCAGTTGGAGAAAAGTGTTTTATTATCACGAGCAATATTTGATTCAGCTTTCTGCTGTAAATAAATTGTTTCCCTATTGTAGAGTAAGTACAATATTATACCAAATATCAGGCTTCCAGAAATCCAAAATTATCAGAAAACTAGACAGTTTTATGGTAAATCTGGATTTCCAGAAGCCTGATAATTTTCAATTCAAAACTGTCTAGTTTTGAATTTGGCAGACTCTAGTATGGCTGTAGTTTGCAGCGTGGCACTCTTTTATTTTCTGTGGCATACACCTCACACTGTACCCGTTCTGGCACGACTGCTTGTCTACAATGTGTTAAAAACAGTTTTTTTCTTTACTTTTCCATTGTTTATTTTATATTTAACCTTTATCCAGAAAAATGGAAATATCTAGACCACTTCTGGTCTCTAGCATGCCAGATTTGGTTTCGTACCTTAGGTTTTCTGTACAGAGAACATTTTTCTATCCTTATTACGGTATAGAGTTATCATTTTAATAATACATAATATTGCGAGTATGATTTAGCGATTCAATTTCTAATTCTTTACTGTTATTTATGAGAACCAAAATTTACTGAGATTTATGAGGAAAGTTTTTAAATCAGGAGCTAAGTTTTATTACAACTAGTGATGTTGTCCGTAGAGTAAAAATTTTTCCTTTTTACTCTACAGAAAAATATAAATAAATTATTTTCAGTTACAGAAATCTATTTATGCGTTACACTAACATAGTTTTTGTAAAATTAAATAAGATATTTAATTATGGACACTTACTTTATTATAAGCATCGTCTGAGAGTCCTCCCCGTTTCTGTAATTCTGTCACAGTCACTCCGGGGCTGTAAAATGTAATTTTTCAGACTTAAAAAAATGTCAGTTTGCATTACAGTTAATGTAATTAAAGATTATTTTCTAAAACAAGAATCTATTTTAATTACTATTGTCACAGCTTATTTTCAGAAGCTGTTATAATTTTCATGTTAAATTTATATTGAAATTGTAGTCATATAATGCTAGGAAATGAATAAATTTGCAAATTAGAAATATAAAATCTAATCTGTCGAGTGAACTACCATAGCATATAGTTGTAATGATTCATGATACTCCAATTGTAAGTGCTCATACGGTCGTATATGCTATACGACCGTATATAATGCTATGTAATGATTCATCGGTATGAATGTAGGGACGCTTGTTGGGCCCAGCAGTGGCCGAGTGGACTCCGTCTCCGCTCATAGCGGCAGAGACCAGACCCTAAACCAAGCATGGCCAACATACGGCCCGTCTAATGAATCTATGTGGCCTGCAATTAATCTTTCAATATTAGCTATTCAAGTCCGAATGGCTCGGTGAGAAATTCTGACGCCTAAAAAAAAAAACGTCAATAACTCACTGCGCATTTAGAGTTAACCCTCCATTACAAATCTCTTAAGTACAGAGTAGAATGTTGATGAAGCATGATAATGTGAAAAATATCTGTAATCTCTATGTACAATTTAGTCTCTATGGGGTGACACCACAATGAGATCTCGCAACCACCTCAAAATCTTCCTAGGGCAGCCTCTGGTTCGGCCTGTGAAAAAGTTTTCTTTCCAATTCGGCCCAGGGCAAAAATTGTTGGCCACCCCTGCCCTAAACACTGGGAGTTTGGTTGTAGGTTCGTGCCTCACTGTGATGGGCTGGCAGCACGGAGTTTTTCCGGGTTTTCTCCTTGCCAATGACGCCTGAATAGGGGCCAGCTTCCCATAAAAGTCCTCCCAGAAAGGCATTCTATCCCCCTCGCATATGTTTAGGCCGTCTTCTATAAGGCCGGCTCTTCTGTCACCTAGCAATCAACCACTAGTCTCTCGGAGTAAAAGCAAATAGCTATAAACTCCATATGAACCGACAAACCAATAAGAATATGATATGAATGTAGTAATATTACTTTCCAAAATGGAATAATAAATTAGTAAGATTGAAAGCAGTAAAATCATTTGATACAAAAAATTGTCTTCAATTAAAACCAGATATTTACAACAGATGTAAATATAGACAATTTAAGTACTTTAAATAATATACTCTTTGTCAATAGTTTAGTATCTAAAGTATTTAATAAATCACTTTTAGTATGTAAACTTTATTGATGAAATATCTGTGGAGATTTTAAATCATTTATACCTTATATTTTGTAAATTTTAAATTAATAAAATATAACAGTGTTTTAACACTATTATAAGTTTTCTATCATGATTATACAGTATAAAAAATTATATTAAATTATTTATATTTTATTTTGTTGTCATTTCAACATAGTATAATATAGTTAAAAGTTTATTTCCAAGGACAGAACCTCAATTTATGAAAAAATTACAGTTTGATTTATAATACTTGATGACTTTCCAGAAACCAATTACATCTGAAAGTAGAGATTTATTATAGTTAATAAGAAACATATTCAAACTACATTGTTAACATTATCTACATACAACTATGCTTACTAAATTGCTATTGAATTGCAAACTCTAAATCTGGAAATAATTGCATAAAAGTTTAAGTGCATTTTTTCCAAAAATGAATAAAAAAAATAAAGTTTATTTTTGAAATATAATTACATTTCTAAAATGAGACAATTATTTCTTAACAGGGCTCAATAGTTATTATTTTTGTATAAAACAAGAACAATTTAATGTTTTTATACATCAAAAAATCAAAAATAATTACATAAAAAGCTAATAACATGATTACTTGCAAAATTTCTACTAAAGAAAGTTTAATAAGAAATATAAATTACAAATTATACAAAACAAATTTATTTCCTGTTAATTTCTTTCGTATCTATTTTCTATATTTTCCGCATTTCAACCCCTTGTGATATAACATACCATAGTTTCAAGTAAATTTCTAATAACCTAATAAAATAAATAAATAATCTGTAAATTTTTGTTGACACTATGTATGCTTACAATCAATGGGTCCTTGCAATAAGATACCAATCTAGCATCACCGCAGATTTTGATTCAAACCAATTTTTCTTGGATAGTATGGTTTGGACATTATTTTTCATTCTGGTCATCACAGTCCGACCTCGCGGTGTGTTAATTTTGTTTCCAATGGTTAGTCACAGATTTTTAGTGCATTGGTACTTTGTGTAGACATTACATAAAAGGATTTTGAATGTTAATCATCATTAAACAAACGACACAAAATTATTCTGTATTTTTACTACTATGAAATAAATTTTTGTGTATAGTTACAACTTACTACCAAGACTAGTTTCATTTATATAGCAAAGTAATTTATATGTTTTGAAATGTGGATGGAGCTGCTACGATTAAAGCTTTATGAAAAACAGAGTGCATTAATTGGGTTCAAAGCCACAATAGGTAAGTATTTAAAATTTAAAAAAATTGCAAGGACAAAAATCACCCCTACTTCAGAAATGATGTTACAAATACCATATAACATCTGCTTTGATGCTTTTAAAATACATTTAATTTAAAATCAAACTCGATCATAAAATTAATTAATTGAACGTATGAATTGAAAATTATTTAAAAGACATCAATAAAATTACCTAAAATTGTACTTTTGCATTTTCTCTGACTCTCTTGTTTTTAAAAAAATGCACTTTAAAAATTAAATATTGATAGTTTTTCTATAAAATTTATGAAAATTAGCATCATTTTACAAAATATACAATATAATCTTGATTATGAAGCAAAAAGTTCAATTTTAACTGGCAATCTATTTATTAAATCAAATGTTTTTGACAGTCTCTGTGGCCACTCTTAAAGTAATATTAACTGATTAATGAGGAATCCAGTTTATTTTCCTCACTCCAATAGATTAATACGTTATTGGGTCCTCACATATGCTCCTCAGATAGTATGAATCGGGCTTTATTCTCAATTCCAATGTCTGGCTACCCATCACACATCAAATCTAGCTATAGTATGATTAATATCAGTAACATAACATGTAGCATAACCTTATTTTGTGTTAACAGAGCAACTAACAATCACCAAATTGACTTTTCTGTGTTTAAGAAATTCTAAATAAGTTTTTACTATTAAATTGAAGAGAGTTTCATTTCTAGACCATTAAAAATACACAAAAATTTTCGTTTTGAGGAACAAATACATCACTGGTGATTTATTCAGTACCTAACTAAAACTGCTAGACATTTCACTGATTACAATACATTAACAGACTAATTCAAAATTCAATTATATACTTGAAGGAAAATATAATAAAATGATGAAAGGAAAGAAAGCAATGGTTTATAATTTTACTTACTTTACAGCATTTACTCTGACTCCTTTAGAAGCCAATTCTATTTTTTAAAAAAAAGCAACATTTTATGTGATGATAATCATATTAAAACAGAAAAAAAATAATTATTAATAAAATATCAGAATTAAAGTTATTATTTAATCTTAATCTTAAAAAATCTTTATCAGGCTGGAAGAAAATATATACAACACAACTCTGAAAAGAACCATAAAAATATTAAAATCTGTTGATGCAGATATTTTAAGGTTCCTTTGAGAGTTGTGTCATACATTCTTAATCTTTTCAATTTTTTTTTTTGATAATTAAAAAGAAGCATATATTTATATTGTTTAAAATGTACATTTGTCATTTACAATTAAATATCTAATTTTCTATGTTTTAACAATAGTATTATTCTGAACATCTTTCAAATCTTTTCTACCATTAAAAGTTATCATTAACTTCTTGGTTTAAGGAAGTTCTTGTATTTAATAATGAATACAACTTTTTGACACCCTCCTCTCTTCTTTGAATCTTTCTCGGAGAGATTTAAAATGTCAAAATAATAAAACATTATTTTGACCATTTCGACTTTTTAAGTGTTTGAAAAAGATCTAAAATTTTTAACTCCTTAAGGACATATCCCGAGTTAAAGGATAAAGGAGTTAAAGACGATTGTAACCTCTTTGCTCTTATGCATGCCATCTCCGGCAGACAGCATTAAAAATTTAATTTTTCCAAAAATTCTCAGCAACAGAAGTAGATAAAATTTTGCATTAGAATACAATACTGTTTAATTCTAAAGAATTTTAAAAACTGAATACATTAGTTTGCTATTAGTTTTTAAAATTGTAGAAAATAAACCAATTTGATTTTCAAAATTATGAGCCCTACATTAAGAAATAAACAGGATTTTAATGCAAAAACTATTTGGTTCTATCTACTTCCACTTTCAACAATTTTTTGTAAAAAGATTTTCTCATAGAAAAAGCATTAAATTTTGAATGCCATCTGCTAGAAATGGCATTCACAACCAAAGATGTTATAATTAGCCTTAGCTATGAATTTAACTTACAAGTGTAACCAAAAAAATGCATATTTTGTTGTATTTATGGTATAAATTACATATTATTAATATTGAACTTAATTAATTAGTAAAATTTTCCTTTAAATTTTACTATAAACACATTTCCTCCTAATTAATTATTTATATGCAGTTTAAATTTATTTAATACACTTATTATTTATAAGTCATGTCAATATATATTACAGATACACTCAGAAAATTTATAAAAACTTCCAAAAAAAGATTAATAAATTGAAAATGACTTTACATCATTCTTTCTATGCAACTCGGAAAATAAGTCTCATGGCAAAGTTGACCATTTTTTTGATGCTTCTCGTCTGCCTCGATTAGTAAACTGCTATAAAATTCCCCCGGTGATGATACAATTAAAAAAAATATAAACTTGATATTTTATCAAAAACATAAATAAGTTACGCAAAGATAATAGCATTGCAGCGTGTCATCAATATCATTATTCAATAGAATTTGATCCTAGTCAGATAGGATAATCATTCAAATTTATTTTGTAACATCACCTTAAACTGCCTTTACAATAACAAATCAATCATGCTTAATCTTGTTGCAATCAAAATTACAGAAGATATCTAATGCAACGAAACTACAAAATAAAAATTTATCTTAATGCCGAAACATTATACAGTTTCAAGTGTCATCTAAGTCAAACAATTTTAATATTCACAAATATACAGTAATGTTGCAAAATTTGTAAATATTTTGAATACTTACCGATAGCCGTGCATCGAGTAAACTGATCGATGGCACTTTTTGACATGCAGTATGCCAAAACTCCAGGAAACTGAAAGAAATTTTAATACTTCAAAAGACAATTAAAATAATAATTTCTTTTAGCTTTTTTTTAGATTAATCTTTTACCGATCTCAAGCCATTAACGCTCGACACGTTTACTATGCAACCTTTGCTGTTTATTAAAAATGGTGTTGCTAACATTGTCAAGTGATAAATTGATCTGTAAATATAAATTCAAGTAATTAATTAACAAATACAAGAAATGATGAGATTTGACACTGTATGAGATGTCTCATACAGTGCCATCTGCCTATTTTTAAAAAGTTTTATTTTATTAATTTGCTCCACATTGTTTTAAATTATATGTTCTTTCATCTTGCCATCAATTATTCTTTCTTAAATTTATAGTAATTTAAACAATACATAAAAAAACTAATATTCATTACATAAACAATTATTAAAAATTGCAACATGGATGTGAAAAGCATCACAAAACAATATAAATCAACATCAGTGTCCAACTGCCAAATTCAAAAGCAGTTCAAAGGACAGTTTGACCCTAATGTTGATACTTATACTAGGAGCCTGGGTTGAACCCTCCTGACAGTTCTACCTAGTATTATGTATCCCTTTAAAATATATTTAATTTTGTTTAATTTCATGCAACCTTATCAGAATAAATTAATGTAACTCACTGGTCTGAAGTTGCTAATGAACTGTATGCCAAATTTTGCATTTATACATGCAAAAATCCAAATTTTAAACCAATTTAGTTATTAGATACTTCTACATAATGTTATATAAGTCAATTTATTTTGTGCAAAAAAAGTGCCTTAATGTAAAGTAATTTGACATAAGATGTAAAGGCATAACCAAGTATGATTTAAGATTGTGTTGTACAGCGAATATTGATTGCAATGAAGCAGTTCAAGTTTTGACAAATATGCTGCCATACAAACGTGTACAGGGGTTGGACAAAATACCAACAAAAGATCACTTTTCATTTATTAATAAGGGGTACAACCCCCTTTTGCAGATAATACAGCTGAAATACATTGAGGAATAGACAAATATAATTCACAAACAACATTAATGTCAATTTTGACCATTCTTCAACTAATACTGATGCTAACTGTTTGATTGAAGTAGGTGGCAGAAATCTGCTCCTAACCTTTTTCTCAAGAGGCTCAATAATAATCAAGTCTGGTGATTAAGGTGGTCAAGGTATATGCTTAAATTTAGTTTCGTGATCCTCAAATCAAGATCAAACACATCCAGCAGTGTGAGTAGAAGCATTGTTGTCCTGAAAGATTGCATCACAAATCATACAACTTCCACAATGCTTGACAGTGGGTTTCACATGAGGCTTCACCTGGTGATGTACAGACAAACATGACCAGAATTGGAAAACACAGTTGAATTCATTGGACCATTTCACATGTTTCCAAGTCTCTAGTTTTGTACTCTTTGAACCACTGGACATGCTGTTTGATGTTTCATAATATCAACAAATGTTTAGCTTTTGCAGCCCCTACCATTAATAATAATAAAATCTTTACACAGTGCATGTTGGATGGTTTTCTCCGATACTGATACCCTTGCACTTGCAGCCAAATCTGCAGTAAATTGCACTGTCCCTCGCATCCAGATTTGACTTTTGACCACAGCTGCTTCTGTTAGCAGATGTTTGCCTGTCTTTGCATACTGAAATATGATCAAAGAAACAGTAGATTTCATTACACCCATCAACTCAACATCTCAAGTCAGAGAAGCCCCTAATAGGCATACACCAACAATCATTCCCATTTGGAAATCTTTTAGGCCTAACATAATCATGCTTTAAAACAGTCAAATAGATTTTTCAACAGCCTAGCCTATATCACTGTTGTTAGAGAAGTTTATCAACAGTGATATAAGCTAGACAAATGATGAAAACAGGGTGGTACCTGTAATTGCACATTTCAGGAAGAGTTCAATTTGATTGTTCAAAACAAAGGGTGTTCAAATTATTTTGTCCAACCCCTTATATTAAAAAGTGATCAAATGCTGTAAAGAAATATAAATAGTATTTCACCAACCTAACATTAATGTTAAACATCCTGTCGTACTGTTCCAATGAGGTGTTTTCAATTGTACCAAACTCTATTATGCCAGCATTATTAACCTGTAATAAAATATACAGTTTCATTGATTAAATACAAAATTTGCCTTGATTAGGCAAGACTGTAGCAAAGAAATTATTAAATTTTTAATTACAGAAATTTCTTTGCAGCAATAAAAAGACCAACAAAAAGTAGGAAGATAATTTAAGGTTTTAGGAATGAAATTTAATAATTCCAAATTGCTATTTATTGATAGAATAATTAAGATTATACTTCTATCTAGCCTTAATTTTAAACAAAATCATTATGCAATTCTATTAAAGAATTTAACTGTAGAATCATGCATTATATAAGATCTGTTGATAGTATTTCAGAAATTTCACATATTGTCATCTTTGCTTCTCGTCGAGAGAATTAGTAGACATTTTGTATTAGTTTCTTTGTTCTTAATAATATTTACAGATCTCTGATTATAATACTTAATTTAAATAATACACTATATTGTTTGATTAAATTTTTGTTTGTTGTCAAATATCTGTATTATCATAAACAGAGATAGAAATTCAAAAATTTCTTAATTACTTGCAGCAGAGAAAATTTATAATAGAAAAGATGCTTTAAATATCTGAGCAAGAGTGCAAATTCTCTTCAATCTCAGAAAGAAGTTATATAAAAATATATAATAGTTATTTAATATACAGTAGAGCGTCAATTTTCCGAATCAATTGGGGACTGGGGTTGTCCGGATAACTGATTTATGTACGAAAAAATAGTTTAACGTATCCGATGTCGAAATTTTTTTCCGTTGCGTGTCGCTTTGCATTGAATTTTCGTCGATGTTAAGCCTAACAAAGACTATTGTATTGTTAAAAATTATTTTTTTAAATTTTGTACAAACAAAATAAATATATTGAAAAATATAAAAATAATAAAAAATTATACTTCAGATGTTAATTTAGTATCAAAAACGTAAAATATTTGAGTAGCCCAAGACATAGCCAAAGATTGAAGCGCCACAGCACTGGCGAAAATTTAAATTTGCCGACTGGAATTTTTTCGGATGATTGACTTTCGGAAAATCGACGCTCTACTGTATTTGAATTATTTGGATATTGTGATATTAATCAAAGTTACGACGACATAATTTATATATGATGGCATAAATCATTGGAATCGTATCTGAATGCATCATCTCTGGCACCATAGAGTATAAGCCATTATGTGACAAAGGACAATAAACTAAATATTTATCAATTTATTGCTAATATTTTTGAAGGATAACCAAACTGAAACTTACCAATATGTCTAATTTTCCAAATTGTTTAATGGTTTCATCAACCAACCTCTTTACATCAGTTTCTTTTGTTAAGTCTCCAACAACCATAAGAGGCTACAAAACAAGAGATTCAACTAAAAATTCAATTTAATAAAAATACAGTATTGAAAAATTGAAATTTACTAACTTTGTACTTTGAGCTCGAGACTTCCTCACACTTTTTAGAAACGCTTTCTAAATTTTCTTTATTTCTTCCCGTTAAAGACAACTGGACACCAAGTTTTGAGAAAAGAACGGCCGTGGCCGCACCGATTCCCGAACTTGCACCTATATATTTTTGACATTGTTATATTATTTTCTGTTATTTAAATACCAATGCTATGTAATTACGAACATTGATACTCTGTACAATTTAACATGCTCGATTCTTTGCTAACGTTTCTTACCTGTTATCAAAGCTACTTTTTCGGATAAGTTGGCTAAGACCTGAGATGCCATGTTGTCGTTCACTTATTGTACAGCCTTATCTGTAAGTAATTAAACATTATAAAATCCATCTCCATTTCATAATTATCTTTCAAAAACAGACATGATATGACAGCACCAATTAAGGCAAATATAAAAACTGCTTTAAAAAAATTCTAGAAGCAATATCATTTTTAAGTCAGAGCATTAAAACAAATTTATTGGAGAAAGATGATTTGCAAAAAGCAGTTTGATAACACTGTAATTAATTGAACTAATACTAAGATGTCAAGATCAAATTTTTTGTGTAAATTTATATACTGATACATATTAACAGTCATTAAATTTCATAATTTTGTATGAATTTGTGCTTAGTATATTCCTCTCATTGGAAGAGAGGAAATTTAATTATTCACTTGTATAAAGAAAGGAGAATGAACTTTTTGCAACTACCTTTATGACTATGAAAACTTTTTAAAACTGTATATTTACAAAAAATTGAATCAGTAAATCACTTTATTTAAAAAAAAAAAACATATTTTTATTTATTTTAGTACAAATTTTACAAGTACAGTGAAAAAATTAATTGTAAAATATTTTCACAGGTAAAAATAAAAATATTTTGTTTACAAATTAAAAAATATAATTATAAAATGCCAGGATTACATTACATTATGTTTACATTACAAATTAAATGCATAGAAGTATCACAAAGTGTCTTATTTTTTAATCTTAATGTCCTTTTCGCAACTTCGGCAATTAACTGTCCTTACGGCCGAGTCTACCTTTCTTTTTAGGCTACTATTCCGCCTCAATACTTAAAATACAGTTAAAAATATTCCCAAGTTTTTGGCACAATCATTAAATTTAGTTTACAAATTAAAGGTTAAAAAGAAGATACTTTGTGATACTTCTATGCATTTAATTTGTAATGTAAGCATATCGTCCTGGCATTTTATAATTCTATTTTTTTAATTCTATGCATTTAATTTGTAAAGATATTTTGTTTTGACTTAGATGATCTCTTTTTGCTAATCAGAAACTACACCAGTATAATAGACCTTATTAATAAACAAGGTCCTAGTAGACAGCATATACACAGGAATTAAAACTCTCACATTTCAAGTAAGCAAATTACAACAGCTCTAAATGGCGATTCATTCGCCAGTAGAAAATTAGAAAAAGTTTCCACTCTTTCAGACAAAAGAGAAAATAAAAATTTTTACGTTTAAAAGTACCATCGAGTCATAGTGACCCGACGTGAGTCTGTTAGGACGTTGAATTTCAGAGATCCAACGATCGGCCTTTCTAAATTTCTTGGATTACGAACTTCCTTCTAGAAAATTAAAGCGAATAATAGAAAATGTTATCAGTCAAAACATCTCTCCAGCATTAGGCAAAAATTCCTTGTCAACTTAAAAATTCAACAAAGAAAAAATAAAATATCATTGACTTTGTTAAAAATTTTATATAATAATAGTTTGGATTCTCAAACAAATAAACTTTTTTTTAAAATTTAGTTAATTATTTATATTTTTCATATCTTAGCATTTACAGCAATCACAAGCTACCCACAACTCTCGAGGTCCTAATTTGCAACCCCAGGCCTTGTCAACATCAAGTTATTTTCCCATTTCCTGTCTTGGACGTCCCACTACGTACCCTAATTAAACTGATATTTGTGTTGAAAACATTCAAACAGAACTTGACCAGTGAAAAGATTAGAATAAACTATATATATATTACTAGTTTGCATATATTATTTAAGAAGTTTTTACCAATATATTTGATAACCTCCAATACTTTTTATTGGAGGTTATCAAATATATTGGTAAAAGCACGCATATCAGAAAAAAATGCTGTTTATTGACACATCCACTGGTTGTAATTTCAACATCCGTAATGCACAAATTATAAAACTTGATGTGGAAAATGCAATTTTAACAAAACTCCCAGACACTTCCGATCACGTGCCAATATAACGAACAATGACTTTGCCATAGGTCACGTGTAGATCAAGTTGCGTGTAAGAAGAGTTTAAGACGTATTAGATTCACTAAGATATCCGTTAATAATTACTGACAAAAAATGTTATTAAAATAGAAACTAGAGAAACAAACAGGCACGTAAACGTAATTGACAGTTTACCTAAACAGTATTAAAGAGACCCTACGTCGAAAAACATGTGATATAACTACATATGCGCCACCTGATATTAAAGACATTCAATTATGCAAAAAAAAAAAAAAATCCTTCAAGATGAAAATAAGCAAAAAGTTTTTGAATTTTATTTTATTATAACTTAATTATTATTTTATTTTTTAAATGGCATAATTAAAACCGAAAGCCAAAAATAAATCTTAGAAATCAGAATAAATGGCTTGATGCGTTGAAAACTGTTTGCTTTTTTAAAAAGTCCCTTAAAATTAACAAAAATTATATTTATTTATATACTAAATTATTTACCAGTATATTATAATTTTTATTAAAATTAAGTATATATGTTTTTTAAATCCCAAAATAAAGAAAAAATATTTATAAATCAAAGTTGAGAATATTTTTTGCCGCCAGATGGCCACGATTTAACATAATCGTCACATGGTGGGTTCATTTTCTAGTAAGCGGCTGGCTTTAACATCGAAAAAATGACTTTTAATTTATTAGGAAGAGGATGTTTTCGTTTAACGAACTTCTACGCGCACCGTTGCACGAGCTTGTGCCTGCAATCCGTCGCATCGAATAAATTACATCGCGGGAAATCCTGCGATCGATCCAAATTACCGAATGGGCAGAGAACTTTTTGCGAAAGTGCTCCTAAATTGAAGAAAAGTAGGTAAGATTATGATTGAATCACGAATTTTTGACTTTCTGACTCTCAATTTATGCTCTAGAGTTAAATTAACTAATGCTTATAAAAATAAAAGAAAGGTTAATCTTTACCTACGTGCATCGTCATGGCGGCTCTTTCCTTTCTTCTGTTTGCTGGAATCAGGGAACAGTGGGGATGCACGTTCTAACCTAGTCTAACTTATACCAATTTATTAGAATAAGTCAAGCTAGGTTAACCGAAAGGAATTCATTCACCTCTCGTTACATAACAGGAAAAGAAAAAAAATGATGATTATCCGGTTAAACAATGTACTGGAAGTGCTACATTAAACGAAAGTTCTTTAATATTCTCACTTACTCTTATTATAAAATTGAACAAAATATTATTAATATATACTTTAATGTATACATTTATCGCCAGGATAATTAATGGGGCGTGACAATTTCTCTACTTATTGCCAGGATTGATTTAATTATCACACTACTTGGAAGTTTCGGGATGGTGCATTAAAATCCCTAAAGTGATGTGGGATGTGAAGGAAATTACTATTCTGCACTCACAAAATAGAAGTGTTTTTTTTAGTTAATTTTTAATTTTTTTATTTAAAACTGTAACAGATACTGTGTTTATCGTATCTGCATTGATTGTTGTGTTTAATCTGGGATGATATGTGGCATTGTGAAGGAACTGGGTTATCGGGTTAATCGTGTTGATAAAATATTTTATTTTTCAGGTAACTAGCAGCTTGAACGTCAGCTTATGTTGCTTATGCACTGATTACCCGAATGCCGAAATGTGGGCCGTGAGTTGGACCGCCGCCTACTTGTTTGCCGTTTCTTTCTTCAGTGCAATCACTACTACTCTCCACTTGGTAACGGCTATCCTTCGTCCGGGTCCGTTACCGGAGCCATTTAAGTATTCCTATGTGAGTCAATACGTTTTATATTTTGTTTTCTATCAACTTTAAATATCTCTTTCTTACAGGGAGTACTTTATAACTTGATGGCAGGTACTTTGAACGCTTTGTTAGGAGCTGTTGCGGCTACCTTTGATGGACGACGATTTGCTCCCGATCTTCCAGCCTATGCCGCAGCTGGAGTAGGTTGTCCTTTATATTTTCTCGACTAGTTAACAGCATTAAAACAATTCTCTTTGTTAACAGACAGTAGGTTTGGCTAGTGGAATTTTATATGTGGCAAGTGGAGTGATGCTCTTCTCGAGAAGTGGCTCGTCTCACCGTTCCCGTCATTAAACATTTAGAAATTATGTCGAGATTTATTATTTTCTGATGTTTTCCGAATTCCTAATTGTAGAATGGTGTCTTAACTCTTTCTTTTAGTCGATGGAATTTTTCAGTGCATGAAACTGATGAAATGTGAAATAAATTCTGTTTTTATTATATAGATAAAGCATAAACTATTATTCGAATGAATAAACTCATGTATTTTCATGTCTTTAAAATAAATTATTATAATAAATGATTCGTCCATTATTCATATTTAGCTATTTCATAAAATTTTATTATAATTTGATGGAGGAAAAACTCTTTATGTATTATAGCTTAGAGCCACAGGTAATGGGTCAGATATAGATCTGACCCTATTATAGCTTTCTCGTTAGGCTAAATATTACACTAGATTTAATTTCAATTTTGTGCAGTAAGAATCNTTTTTTTTTTTTTTTTTTGTTCTTGAGTTAGAAGTTTTATCGATTAACTAGTAATGTTATCTTTTGCATTATATGTTTTACGTATTTCATTTTTTTAAATTAAAAAAAGTACCTATTATAATTTATTGTTTCCTAATTTTTAGAAGTCCTTGAATAATAGATGAAGCTACTATTCAAGGTTGGTTATTATTAGAATAAAACCAGTAATGTAAATGTTAAAAAAAATCTAAGAAATCTACTGAAGTTGGAAAAGATCATGATAGTTTCACTATATTGAAGATTAATAAATTGTAAAAATTTAATTATGAAAATTGTTATGCAAGTTTGTCCTCTTATGAGGTGCATAACTTTCATTTTATGTCTTGAAACATTTATTTTTAAATATACAGTCAGACTTGAGTTTTAGCAATCCTTCATTTAGTAACTTGCCATGATATGACAACCAAAGAGAAGGTCCAAGCTCTTGACAGTTCTCCCATAAGAATGATATTATTGACACAATGTCTCTATACATGATTGGAATCTCATCAGTGTACCTTTCAGAATATTGAATCAACAAGTTTAGAAGTAAAATCAGCTGCTCTTGGTGTAAATATGTCTCAACAGACTTGTGAGGTATAAGTTATATACTGTGAGTTCAGAGTTATTTCCAACTTAAGAGAAGAAAATGTTTTGAAATAACATACTATAGCATTGTTAATTATTTTAAGTCAAAGTAATTAACAAATCACATCATATTAAAGCAGTTTTTTGAAAAACAAATTTTTTTGAAGAACTTTTAAAATATAGTATAATATAAACTTCTACGTTCAAAGAACACTGGGATGAAATCAACGTGTACTGTACCTTGAACCTGTTACCGATGTGTGTGATATGATGGATAAATATCGCAAACATTTTTGAACATTAATAGTTCTTCCTCAGGCAATAGAAAAAAGAAACAACAGAATGCAGAACAAAATAGAACATGAATATTTAAAATAGAATCGAATCCACATCTCATGTAAAATTGTTGGATTGGACATGTGCATTCCATGTGGGTAGTCGGCAATTAAAGATCGGTGTCCGCGAGGGCCTGCCATGCAATGGACAAATTCAGTTGTTCTTTGTAATTTATGCATGTGGTGTTGTGGCTAGATTTATAAATGGAAATTGCCTCCAACCACCTCAGGTGCTTGGGGTGGGGTGGGGTGAGGTGATCCTCGCTTGGTTGAAGGCCACCTCGATGTCGGGGTTAGACGAGCTGTGTGCACTAAGATGGTCTTTTTAATAAGTCTGTTATGGGTTTGGCCAAGCCCTCAATGGGGTCATCAGGGTGAGGAACAAGGTCTAACGTATCTGGAGGAATTGCCCAAAAAGTTCTGGGGTTATTCATCTTGTTCGAATTCGGTTCAGGATGTCAGCCTATCGTTTGGAGCCCAGAATGATGCTGCTGTCCTGCCATCCAGCTGTCAACTTTGAGCTACCCAAGAAACAAGTTTTGGCAACTGTTTACTTCAAACATCTAACTTTCTGTGGCTCCATTTACATGCTGGTTTTGTGGAACTAATTATTTGCATAAGTGGAGGAATTACTGTATTTTAAAAATATAATTTTAAAGGATTTTAGTTCTTTTTAAGTTTTGGACTGTTTTTCTTATGCAAGCAGAAAATTGTGTAATGTAATTGGCATCATCCTGCAAAAGTTAGAAAATAGTTCATATAATATCACACTGGTTCCTAACAAATCAACAGAAAGCAAATCTGCTGTACTGATTTCAATTCACAAAATATAAGTACTGTTTATTTCTAAATACGTATAACAACATATACAGTGGGTGATTGGTTAACGAACATAATCCATTCCAAGACTTTGTTTGCTATCCGAATTGTTCGTTAACTGATTATCAATTTACCATAGGTTTTAATGAGAATTTAATTAATTTGTTCCAGACCCCCCAAAAATAAAAAATATATACTTTCTTACTACGTTTATTTTATGTAATAATAAAAATACATCCATACACAGTCTTGTGTTTTTATTAGTCATGTTTTTTTCGTTTGAAAGGGTTAAAGAATCTGTCTAATGTCAATTGCTTTTCTCTCTTCAGGATTTTTCATAAGTAATTGCAATTGTAGAAATCCCAAGCCTCAACCTGGTTTGGATGCCATTCTAAGACTGTTGTTCTGACATCCTCTCACTTCTTCAAAGGATCTTTAATAACAGATATCGGCATTAATCCTCTTTTTTAGAAGAAAAAATATCTCACCAAGTTTCTTGGCGTTCTTCTGTCATCAGATCCGTTTCAGGTTCGATTATGAACTCTTCGATGTTCTTTATTTCTCAGATGTGATCTTTGTTACTCCTTTAGCTGCTTGAGTCTTCTTGATTATACAGTATTTTTCTTAAATAAGATTGAACTGCGACCTACTGTAGACCTGTTCACGCCATACTGCCCAGCAACATTTGGCATCTTCTGCCCACTCTCTACCTTTGCTATTATACTTTCACCTTTCCAAAAGAAAAACAGACGCAAAACTTAATGAGTGCCTACCCGACAGTCTCGTGAATACATAAAAGAATTGTTTTGTCAGAAAAATAAACTGCTAGAATTACAAGGGAGAGTTTTAAAGTTCGGAGGAATTTGATCGGTATATACCGGCTTGAGCGTCGATGTCGATGTCTCCCACACACTTCGAAAAGTTTCAAATTGTTGTCCGAAGACAAGGGAAGGGAAGACCAATCGGTATTCATTATTTTACATTGCTTTTTGTGTTTGTTCTGTGGGGTGTTTGTTATCCGATCATGTGTTCGTTGTCCGAACATAAAAATCTTTCGCGAAAGTGTTTGTTATCCGATCTGTTCATTAACTGATCACCCACTGTATTATTAGCAGATGAGCCTGGCGTTGCTTGGGCAAAAAGTAACGATAGCAAAGATTAAAATAATTAGATTATAGCCAATCTTATTCGTTTTTCACCTGGTTCAAGAATTAGGTTCCCCCGACCCATCTTTGATATGTGTGATGCTCTGATCCAAGGAAAGCCCAGAGACCCCCTTAAGGAATTTGTAATGGAGGGGTAATGTTCATAAATTTCTTCAATTAGCTTTCTCTGCTAAACATATTGTTGTTTGATAAATTTTATTAAATATATCTTTTGATTGTTTACTGTTTATAATAATTCTATTCAATTTTGCATATTTTTGAGGTCTTGAATGTTAGGAGGCTCCCAATGTCTAGAGGTCCTGGGCCCAGACCTGGGCACACTTAAAGATGGGCCTGGGTCCCACCACTCTTCCAAGACTAGTTAGAGAATTTTTAGATGGGTCTAAACATATATTTGATTTTCCACAAAATTGCAAAAAATTGCATCTAAAATAGTATAGTAGAAGCAGAGTTCTTCAGGTAATCCTTACTCTGTCCCCCACAGAGGGGAACTTTGAAATAGCCCTTAGTGTACATTCTTATGATGTACTCTGTGTACCAAATTTCAACTGTCAACTCCTAACCGTTTGGGCTCTGCACTCATTATCATCATCATCATCAACCCATCTCAATTATATTATAAGATTAAAAAGTAAATTTTTTTTTGGGAAGGTGAATGATTAAATGGATTAAAAATTTTGAATCGGCCTTCTGTATCATCTTTATTACAATTTGTTTCATTATTTGTATAATTGAATTGGTCGGCAAAAATATTTTTGTATTTCCTGTTTGTAATTTGAATTGTGAACCTATTTTTCATTGCTCAAATGATAATAAGCATGATATTTTGAAATAAAAATTATTTAAGATTTGTCAAAATGAAATAAATTTGATCCTTTTGATTGCAGAATTTTGTGTATAATAAGTGAAGTTTTGCAACTTAAAATTTAGATAAGTTTGTATTGACAGATATAAACATTCAAATAACCCAATTCTTGATTATACCAAATGATCTGGCAGATTGTATCGGGCCATATTACAGCTACGTTTAATAATTGGACATTTAATCCAGATAGCATCGTTGGCATTATGTTCACACAATAAGCTGGAATTGCGGATTTGAATTTCACTCCGGGCCGATTCTTTTCTTCCAGAACTTATTAAATTTTATTTATAATTTCTAAATTAAATATTAATTATTATGAGACAATCACTCAATCGCCTATCTCTAAGCAAAATTACAGTATATCTAATTATGAATGTTGGTTTGTATTGGTTTATCATGTTTTGTTATGATCAGAATTTTTTATTTTTTATGTAATATATTTTGTTTTAATTATTGGCCATCATATTGTTTTCCAACATAGCAGTACATAAGAAATAATTTCACTATAAATATTGTTAATTTAATCTGAATAAGGTTAATAGCTCACATGTTCTGTTCTTTTTTAAATTATAACATATAAGAATGCATTATTTTTTTTATATTATTAAAATAAGAAATACAAAATCAATTTTGTAAGAACTGTTCTTAGATTTGAAATTTTAAAGAATTTGGATGTAATTTACCATATATCATTATAACAATTACAAACACTAAAATAAATACTAATGAGAATAAACTTCTTAGTCAAAGTAAGACAAACAGAATAAATATATTGTACAAATATTTGCTTGCTGTTTCTCTACAACATATTTGTTTGCTGTTTTTTCTTCTGTTTTATCTCTACAACATATCTATAAAGATGCTGTTTGGTGGAAGTCAAACTTTATTTCTGTTTTGACACTCAAAAATATTATTTATTTCATTTTTATCATCTACTTCAGTTAAGTAGTTTATTCTTCTTAATATACTATAATTTA